AAATAAGTCACAGAACTGGGACGGCATGCCAACTGCCCAGACATCTTCCAGAACCAGTCTCCTAGCAGCTGTCTGAAACATGACCACCACGAGTGTTCCAGCCCACCACACCTTACAAAGCTTTGGTATGTTGGCCATGTTGAAGTTGTTCCCCTTCCTCCCTCACACCCCCAATGCATGCTTACTTAGAATGCTTCCAATGACAAACTGATTTTTTTGTTGTTAAGAAGCAAAATCATTGCAGCAGCCATTCTGGAAATCTGCTTTGTATTTGGGGCTCCTCAAGGCTCCAACAGGAAAATAATAAACTGACATCCTGAGAAGCTGAGTCCTGCCCCTTCCTGCCTGCCACACACTGCAGGCAGGTGTCTGGGTGGGAAATTGGACACCCCGTCAGACAGAGTTTCCTGTGCTGTCTTGCTGTTTGTCTGCCAGCCGGGCCCAGGTCGCCCTTCACGGCAGATGTGGGGAACAGCTGGTGTCTGTACAAACAAGGGGAGGACGGATGAAGGGAGCAGACGGGCACCATGCTGGGCCAAGTGACTGGGAGGCCCAGCCCTAGGGACTAGGAAGAGGATCGAGCAGAGAGTTGGCAAGAAGGAAGTCTGGGAGAAGGTGCCGAAGCTCAACCCTGGGCCTGGAGTTCATCCCAGGAGCTCCATTCCAGGAGGTTCAGGCAACAAGCAACTCACCCTCAAGGTAGGGGCAAGATGCTTGAGCAAGATGCGAACCCATTGCAGCAAGCTGTTCACAGGGGTTCGAAGCTGGTGCTGCACCAGCCTTTAAATATTTAAACTCTCTAGGTTTGCATCTCAGCTCTACCACTTCCTGGCTGTCTGGTCCTAATTCTTCTAACCCCCAGTTTCATCATCTATAAAATGAGGATAAAAACATAACACTTACAACAGGGCTACTGTGCTGATAAAATGAAATGACATGTAAAAGCAGTTAATATTATGCTGAGCAAAGTGTAAGCTCTCAATAAATCATAGCTATCATGATTTTATTTTTTGGAGTTAGGAAATCCTAAATCTCACATACAGCTCTGTCACTTTGTACAAATGATTCCACCTTTCTGAGTCTCAATTTTCTACTTTGCTGGGTTGTGCTTGAGTCTAAATGAGATAATAAACACAGAGATCCCACCATAGCCCAGAACATAGTAAGTGCTCTATTTAGGAAAGTGCTGGAACCATATCTGTCCCATGGCTGAGTTTCTGGGTGCCAGCCTAGGTGCTTAGAAGAAGGGAATTTCCCATGATGTGGCACTGAGGCCAAGGGGACAGGTGGGAACTAAACAAATCCAACAGTTAAGGGCAGGGGGAGTGACATGAAGGAAGCCCCTCTCTTGCCTTAAGAGGCTTCCAACTGTGGAAGCTGAAAATAGAAAGCAGAACTTTCTTCTTCCCTGTGGACGCCCGGGGTAAACTGTCTGGGCTTCAACTGGCAGGGCTGGGAGCCCCGTCTACTCCCCGCCCTGTCTCTGCTGCTGGGAAAAGTCGCTTTCTTTTTTGCCAAGGGAGGGATCCCACACCCAAGGTTCCCTGGCAGTCTAGGCTCACGGTGAAATGTCTCCAACCAGAACTGGGAGGCTTGAGGCCAGGTGCACCAAGGACACAGGCCATCCCTATTGCAGTCCTCGTCTGAGACTTGGCCTTGTGCAGGAGAAAGAGCAGGATTTGTGAGTCAGACAGGACAGCTTCAAATTTGGGCTTCACCACTCACTAGCCAAGTGACCTCAGGCAAGTCTCGTAAGCACCCTGAGCCCAGACTGGCTCATCCATGTGATGGGGATAAGAGTTACAACCCGTCGGGGTTGTTGACAAGAGGATTAGAGAGGGTGACAGAAGCCAAGTGTCCAGCAGAGTATCTGGAGTACGCAGTAGTTCACTTTGTGATGTCTTGTGTTATCATTTATTGTCTCCATCTTTCACCACCTATAAACTAGTCTACTGCAGAAAGTAGCTGAGAGTGTCCAGGAAAGAGGAGAAATGTTTCAAGAAGTTGGAGTTCATGTAAAAGCTAAACTAGGAAATGTAAATTGTAGGAAGTGTGACTTTAATTTGCGACAGCTTTTTTTCTCTAGAAGTCAGACTTCCAGGAATCTCCCACTTGAAAAGTTCCAAACACCTGTGAACAACTGAAATAACCCTGGCAAAATCATATCTGCTACAAGGGAGGCCTTTAGTCTCTGTAATCCATCCATACACCACTTATGGTTCTAACACACATCACATACAGTCCTGTCCTTTCTTCTGCCAACCGCCACCTACCTTCACCAGAAAAACCCCTACTCTTTCTTCAGGATTCAATGGAAATGCCACTTCCTCAGGGAAGTTTCCTCTGGCCTTCTCACTGTTCTCCGTAATATCCTATGCTTTTTCTTCACTGCCTCTTCCACAAAGGTAAATTAAAGGCATAGTTGTGTGGCTCACTGCTTAATACCAGGCTACTCTAATAGACTGCAAGTTTCCCAAGGGAAGGAAGTTTGTCTGTCCAGATTCTGCCACGTGTACACAACCTGGCCCAGTGCCGGGCACACAGAGATGCTCCGTGGACATTCATCTCCTCAGATGAAGGAAGCTTGGCTGTCTGTAATCTGCTGAATTGGCCAATAGGAAGAAACAACTGTTTAAAGTGGAAGCAGATCTTTTAGCACAAAAAGCCCAAACTACATTCATAATTTGGGTGGACAAGAAAAAAGAAAAAGACTAGGAAGCACATTCAGAACTAACTGATTCTGGGGTCCCTTAGGGAAGAGTCAGTACTTATCTCAGGGCCCAGGAGTCTGAAATTGCTGCAATAGAACCCAGTACAGGAGCAGAGAGTCAACATGGTGACTTGGTGTTCATATGTATATATACACTAAAGTTAGTATGATAATTTGCAGTTTGCATCTGAACCTTAATGTCATGACTTCACATTCCTACCATGCACTTTATAGAAAGAGTAATCCACTTAAAGGACTTCCACTCCAAAAAGTTTTATTTTTTATGTTTTAGTTATTTAATATAGAAGGTATAATAGGTAGAAGAATTATTCTTATTAGAACTGTTCTTTCTCCAACTGATAGTGTCCAAAGGTGTCATAATTCTACAAAAACTTCTATGTAAAACACAAACTTCATTGTCCATTCACTTTAAAAAATGGTCTGCTTTGACACTATTGTACTACACTGTATTTATTTGGAAACAGGTATCAAGAACCTTAAATATGCTTCTACGATAGAGCTATAAAATTAGAGCTATAAAAAGATCTGTATGCAAAGGCATTCATTAGCATCATTATTTATAATTGTAAGAAACAGAAATAATCCAAAAGTTAAAAATAAAAGTCAAGGTAAATGGTTATGTGAACTAGTATACATCACAACCATATAATAATAACACAGCAAAAAATACAGTTGAGAAGTTTATACTAATATCAGATAATTTTCACATATAATGTGTCCTTTGCTAAGTGGACAAAAGTAAACATAAAGATCCCAAATTGGAAATGCAATAATGTCACATAGACACGTATACCTTCACACTTAACAAAATATACAGAATAAAATATACCAGAAAGAAAGCAGTGGTGATCTTTGGGCTGTCAGGCAATAAGTGAATTTTTTTGGTCTCTTCTTTCTTGATTTTCCAAAGATTAGAATATGTATTATTTTATATACATACATTAGAATATGTATTTTTCATATACTTAGGAAGAATAGTAAAGTTCATTAACAGAAAATGAATTTTATTCTCCTGTACGTAAGCAGAAAATGTATGCCTTCAGTGTTCTACCAAAACCCAAAGCCAAACTCCAAAAAAGGGTAGTCATGTGGAAAAGTGTTGCACACACAGGACTGACAGATCCCAGACAACTTGGGCATCCTTACTCATCAACCAAAAGATTTAGCAATAGTCCTCCAATTTGAGTGTGTTCTTTGGGTCTTGCCCCATTCATCCCTGCATTTTGGGGTCAGAGCATCTTTCTTGAAGGAACTAACTGTCTTAAAGACATTGCCATATAAAAAGACTTGGATTGAAAACCAGGAACCTTGCTCTGTTTCTATCATTCCCTCTGCCATCTAGGAAGAATCATTCCTCTTTTATGGGCCTCAGTGCCCCTACTGATAAAATGAAAAGTTTGGGGCAGATGACCATAGAAGGCTCTTTAGCCAGGACTGACGATGATTCTTTGCCTTTCCTATCTCAGAAACTCAGTTCCCCCTTCTTTAAAATGAGAGATTAGAGCACATGCTCTTTCAGCTCAGACTGTAGATGAGTATAAAGATAGAAATAGTTTCCCATCAACTCATTCATCATAAGAGCACTTCTCAATCCAGGGTGGTGGGTTTATCACCTCTCTCCCAACTCTCGGCTCTAGCCCCAACTCTGCTCTCAGCGCTAGGCAGGGGGAAATGGATGTAGCCACTTTTCTGAGAGTGGTTGATAGGAATCTCAATTGAATGCTTCAATTTTACTGTAAATATTTGAATCACTCCTGTGTGTATCTTAATACACAAAGAAAGAAAATCATGACCACTTCCTCCTCCCCTATTCCTATGGGTGAGGAAAACCAAATAGATGATAAAATGTCCAAAGGCCATAAGTGACCTTGTAGGAAATGTCTCATTTTCTCTCCCCCTAGGCTTCAGCCATACCCCCTAACAATGTACGTTCTCTCTAGAATTTTACATACCAGTCTCCTGCCCCATCATCTTTTCCTGACCACATCTGTGTCCCTTCCCTTAGCCCTAAGGCTTCAGCAGACCCTTCTCTGCCCCCTCACCTGGGCCCTCATGGCACTCTATCCTTCCCTTCTAAAAGTACTTATTGCACTTGTATTTATCTGCTTCCATATGTGAGGCTAAGCTTAAAAATAAAAAGGAAGTAAAGCTTGAAGACAGAGTGCTGACACAGCCAGGACAATGGGTGGTGCAGCATGTAGGAGTGACCCTGGCCAGCAAGCCAGAGAGGTGCACAGGAGGCAGCTGGCTGAGACACACACCGACCTACCTTTTTGGTCTTCACTGTGGAGGTGCAGCAATCCCCGCCATCATAGTTGCAGAAGGCTCGGTTGTTGATAGCATCACAGTAATTGTCTCCCATGAAGGGCTATAAGGGGGAGAGAATCAGGAAATGAGGTCTCATTAGCATCCTGGAGTGAGTGGAGCTGCCCCATTCTCCATTGAAGCCTAGGTCATTGTTCGGGTGTCTGTCATCTTCCCATAAACTTCTACCCTCAGCCTGCCTATCTTCAAATGCCAACACCCCCTTGGATGAGTTACCACCTCTACCGTTTTTACAGACTCTTATCTTAGCCAAATTTTTCCCAACTAGAATGTGGTTGTGCTGAGAGACATACTCTTGCATGCAGAGGTACAGAGGACAGATCACTTACATCTTCCTAAATATGGGGCTCGTTTTACTAAGAAAAATGATTTAAAATAAAATGTGAGTCTTCTTTCCCCCTCTTTTCATAACAGCAGACAATTAAAATTATTAAAAGTATATGCAAATATATTAGGAAGATGAATATAAACTGATCAAGAATTATTATATAAAGATAAAACGTGAGAATTTATAGGAATTTGGCACTATGGTCTATGTACAATGGTGTTCTCCCTCTAACACAGGAATAAGGATGTACATGATGTCACAGGCTTTGTTTTCTTCTTTTGTTTTCCAAACAAGTGAGGTAGGCATTATTATTCCCACTCTACAGATGAAGACCCTAAGATTCAAAGAAAGGGACTTGGCCAAAATCACACTGGCAAACTCAAGATAGTGATTTAAATCTAAGGTGGTACCATGGTTTTACCTTCACTTCTCTAAGCTGTTCTAGTATATACTGATTTATTTCTTTTCTTCTCTGTGTTCTTCCACCCCTCTGTTGCTCTAAAGATGAGGAAAAATGATGGAGTCAAGTCATTACTAATCTGAATCCAGAGCCATCTCAGGAAAAAGTCCAGGATTCTCTGCAACTTCTCTACCACTTGTATTTATTTCCCCATCCCAACAATTGGCACACGGAAGCTGTGGTCTGTTCACATTTCTGTAGTTGGTGCATGACTGTGAGCTCCTCAAAGATATAGGCAATGTCTGGTTCATCTTTGTCTCCCAATCACCTAGTTTAATGCAGTGCCCAACTTTGGTCTTTAGTAATGTTTGTCAAGTGGAATGGAACTGCACTGGCGTGGTGGCCAAAGCAGTTGGCAGGGATTTAGAAATCCTGGGTTCTAGTCCTCTAAACCTCAGCCAACTGGGCAGTTACTTGGTGATTTGGGTTAAGTGATTTATCTTCTCTAGGTCTCAGGACTCCCACTAGTGAAATAAAGAGGCTGGATTAGTCCAGTGATTTCTCAAAGCAATGAACCTACCCCGCCTCCCTCCATCAAATACAATACAGAGAGCAGATGAAAGTAAAAGCTGGATTAGAGTGCTGGATTGGATCTCTACTGCTTAGTGACTCACTGATAGGAAAGACTATGGTGGCATTTCTTTAAGACCAGTGTGTACCAGCACACCACCTGTGATCCAGTGGTCTCTCCTTCCCATCCTGAGGACTCTGGGGAACCCCAAGCTCAAAAGGAGTCCATCTCGTGTAGCATCCTGGCTTTTGCATCTCTGTTCCAAATTCTCATTCACAGAGCCTTTGTGCTCCAAGCTCATAATGTCAGATTCCTTTTCATCCCTACCCTACTAGAGTCTTAAAAAGATCACATCAAGACAGAGCTAAGAACAGGTAAGAGCTGAACTCAGGTGTGTGCAGGCATGCATGGATGTGAGCTCAGGTGTGACTCTGCTGTATGACTTCCATAAAGAACACATTATGACATTCAAGTCGGAGCAGAGGGGCACACACAACAAACAACTTTGAGTGTCTAGAGGTAGGCAAGATAAAGAAAGGGTTTTGGGACCCCAGATGCCCTTGCCCTTTGCACCAAGCAGGGTCCAAAGTGATCATTTTGCTTTTCTCTGTGCCTCAGGAGGTCTGCCTGGGGACTGTGTTCTTTATGTTCTTTCCATATAATACATGAACAGACTAATGAAGGAGACCAATTATTCCTTCCTTACAATGAAAGAAACTGACTTGGTAAAGGAGTACCTGGGGAAGAAGAAAAAAAGATGAACGAAGGTAGTTCTTTTTATTTGGACCCTGAAAAGAAATCTCCACTCTCATCACTAGCTCCTCTCCCCAAGTGACCTTTCCTGCAGCCATTCCCTCCCTCCCTCCTTCCCTCCCTCCCTCCCTCCTTCATTTCTTCCTTCCTTCCTTCCTTCCTTCCTTCCTTCCTTCCTTCCTTCCTTCCATCCTCTATCCAACCCTATTTACTGGATGCCTACTGTGTGTCACACATTGTACTAAGGAAAGGGATGCAACAGTGAGTCAATATAGATATAGCCCCTACCCCTCTAGATCTATATCTAGACTTTAATCAAATAATCACACATCTAATCAACCAATTTCAACTCCGATAAGAGCCATGGAGGAGAGGCGCATGATGTTATTATTAAAGAATAGAAAGATTTGATCTACTCAGGGAGCTCCGTGAAGATGTCCCTGAGGAAATGATGTTTCAGCTGAGATCATCAAGAGGAGTAGGAGTTAATTAGATGGGAATGGAGGAGACTGAATCTGTAGAGAGAGGGAACAGCAGGAGAAAAGCTTTGCTACTTTGAGATTTCTCCCATTTCTGGCGTTCCTCGTGTTGCTACTTCTACTAGTCATGTGTTCAGGCAGACCACCCATCCTTCTAGATCTAGCGGAAACATCAGGGCTCCAGAATGCCTTTCCTAACAGCCCCAGGATACTCTGTGCTTCAAAAGCTTCTTGTGCTTGCTTTGGCGATAGCTTTGGGGACATCACTTTGGAATTCTCTCTTTAACTGGCTATCTCCTTCACTATGCTGTGTGTTCCTTATGGACCGGAGATGTGTGTCATTCATTCTCATATCCTAGACTCCTAGCAAACTGACTGGTAATCTGAGCAAAACTTTATCAGACGTATGTCCAGTAAATGCTTATTTAGTAAAATGATAGATGGATGGATGGATGAGGAATAAGAAGATATCACAGATGATATGGAAAGAGCACAGTTACATTTTCACTGATTAAAACCACTATTATCCCAGAACCTAGATTAGTAACCAGTGTCTAAGAAGCACTCGGTGAAGCTCTGATGAACAAATGAATAAATGATCACTTTGGATCCCACTTGGTGTAAAGGGAAGAGGGGTCTGGGGTCCCCACACCCTTTCTTCATCTTGGCTACTTCTAGATACTTGAGGTTGATGACTCCTTCCTGGTCCCAGCATTTATATCTCGTCTAAGCATACGATTCAGCTCCCAACAAGACACAGACTATTAGCTCTAAGCTAAGGAAGACAGATGAGGGCACCTGCAAGGGCAAAGGCGATAAGCATCACTGGCAGGGCTCAGGGCCTGACAGGTGAGGGTCTCTTGGGCCTTGCTGCTGAGTCAAAGGAGGGCTCGAATTCCGCTGTTACACTGGTCCCGCAGACCGCTGACTCAGCAGAATGCGCGCCCAGGTAACCCAAGCTTCCTTTTTCCAAAATGCTGGGCTGGTCCAGAGAGATGGAAGGAAGCAACAGCCACGGGGCTTTGGCCTTGGTTTTGCTGTTCCAAACTGAAGCTTAAGAGACTGAGGTTCTTGAAGACTGCAATGTCCAGTGCCCTGAGAAGATGGCATGGGGGGTGGTCCCTAACCAATGTACAGAAAGAAATGTGTGACCCAAGGACTGTCTTGTGACAATTACAGGTCAGGGAGTGGGCTCTGTAGCCTAGTGGAGGAGAAAAAGCACTAGCCTGGAAGCCAGGAGACCTGAGCTCGTGCTTTGGCTCTGAGACTGCCATGTTGTGCAAACTTAGACCAGTCCTGTCCCCTCTCTGGCCCCCAGTGTCCACTGTATACAAACAAGCAACTAGAACCAGCTCACACTAGCAGCCTTCCCAGTTTAAGTGGGCATGTTCCATCAAATTTTAGACCTGGCCGCTGTCTAGGTCTCCATTTCTCCATCTTTAACAGAGAAAGTTAGGCTTAGATTATCTAAAAGAGTTTTTTTTCTGGTTCTGACATTTTAAGAGTTTTGTCAAGTACAAATTTGTTCTAGAGCATGAGCTTGTCTTTTTCACATGCATTTTCCTCAGTGGACTCTGGAGGGACCACAGAGATTTGAACAGTCACCTGGAGGGGATTTAGGGCTTTTTTTTCTCACTGCCAGTGGCGAGGAACTGCCAGGGGCACAGCGATGCACAGAGATGTCTTTGAGTTCCATGGCCAGCCCTCCCCTGGGAACACAGCTGACATGCCAAGAGCCTGCCCCCTACCCCACCAAGCGTGCCACTGAGACACACAGCCAGGTCCCATAATCAAGCTCCAGGGGAGGGCTCCACTGCGAAGTGAGAGCATTTGAGGATCAAGAGGATCTTCCAACTCAGCTGCGTGGTTGGGTCTAAGGCATCCACATTCCTTTTGGTGGTAAAGAAGGAGTGAATGACTAAGACATGGGGCAGGAAAAATTGATCTCCAAATAAAGGTCATCAGTAAAATGGAAAATTTTAAAAAATGCCTCAAATGACTCTGTAAAAGTTAAATGTAATGCTAATGTTGGTGAAATCCCCGGTGGATTGTAGATGCTAAATCCATCTGGCCTTCCACCCTTCCTTTTTCACAGATCCCATATTATGTAGACCACAGGCTTTGGGGCCACAAAAGCCTGGCTTGGACTCCCAACTCCATTACCCATTGCTTATAACCTTTTAGTATGTCTCTCCATATCTCTGTGCCTCCATTCCATCATCTGTAAAAGGGGGTTGCTGATGCCTGGCCAAGACGTCTGCTAAATGGATAGTTATAATGCTTAGTAGGTACAGGAAATGTCAGCCTGACAACAGAGGGATTATTTCTAGGAAGCTGAGGCATGCCTGTCCTCGTGACTCACCTCGCAGCCTTTGACACAGTGAATCAGGGCAGGGTGAGGATACCACTTGAGCCCAGCGGTGCAGACGACTCTCTGCGGAGACAAGGAGAGAGAGAGGTCAGATGGGTTTGACCATTGGGAGGGAGCTGGCACCACGTTCAATCACCCCACCTCCTCCTCTTGCGCCTTCCAAGTCCTGACCTCACCCTGGCATTTACACGGAGAACTTGCCCAGGTACTTGCAATAACAGGAGCCATAAGATTAAAATAATATTTGTGTTCGTGGCATGTGTCATGATCCTGTATTTCCCTGGCAGGAACGAGGGCTGCGGAGAAGCAGAATCGGGGGATGGAAACATGATCAGAAAGGCCCTTCAGAAAATTCTTGGCTGCTGTGGGAGCCGCTGGTGGAGCTGGGATAAGGTGGGGGGAGGAAGGGTACGGTGTGCGTGTGCATAGGTGTGCGTGTGGGTGTTTGGGCACATGTATGTGCATGGGCACGGCAAACAGATGGGAGAAAGTGTGGGACAGGGTTTCTCAAAGCATGAGCTGAGGACTGCTTCCATTAGTATCCCTGCAGGGGCGCATTAAAAAGGCCAATTCCTTGGCCCTGCTTTGGGGTTCATGAATTGGACTCTCTGGGACACTGAATTTTAAACACAAGCCTCTGAGATGATTCTGATGCACGCTACAGTGGGAGAGCAAGTGGGCTGTTGAAGGAATGAGCTAACCTCCGGGTCAGAACCCCGGAGAGGCAGAGAACCTGTCCTGCTATTGCCTGCTGCCACGCCACAACGGGCTGCTCACAGCGTCCTGAGCTTGCCTACACTTTCGTAACTCAGTGAATTTGTTCTTGCTGTTCCCTTTCAATGAAATGCCGTTCCCCATCTTGTCACTTGAGGAATCCTTAGTTATCTTTTCAATATCTGCTCAAAACTTACTTCCTCTGTGGTGTTTTTCCCAATTCCCTCAGGCAGAGCTTACAGGCATGCATATCTATACTTATTTACGGCCTCCTTTAATCACAATAATTATGATGATGATAATGACAACTGAAATACATTGAGTGCATTCATTGCCACCATGCTGTGAGATGGGCATTAACCTGGCTTCATAAGAGAATAAATTCCCTGAGCTCCATAGCTGTTAGGTGGAGAAACCAGGATTTGGAAACTACAGTTGTTCCAGAAATGATTTAAGGAAGCTCATAACACAAAATCCAACATGACGGTATTTTTTAACATAAGGTGAAGAAGAAAGATAAGTAATGCTAGGAATCTAAAATAGTATCAGGAATGGGGCTACCATAAAAATCCTAGAACTTCCCTTTTCTATTCTCTGTAGATGCCTCTGTTTTCATGCCATATTAAAGTTATTTCTTTAAACAATAAAATAAAATGAAATAGCACATGCTTAGATTTGTGGTGAGAGGTAACCTTGTCCACAACCAGCCACAGAAGTCTATATGATCGGCGCTTGTTCTCCTGGCTAAGAGCCAGTTAATTTCAATTAAAAAATGAGCAGTCACATGGGCCGGAATATAGAGAATCCATGTGACCAGCCCATTCTCTCCCTGAGGGTAGACCCATACGGCAGCCAAACTGTAATTAGGTTTCTTGGCAAGTTTGTGGCAAAGGAAATCAGGTGACTCCAGGCTAAGCCTGGCTTGGGTGTCTTTCTTCTCCGCTCCACAACATCTCTGGTTCACACTGGAGCTCTCGAGCCTAGAACGGTGCCTGGCACACAGAGGACGCTCAATAAATATACAGCACATGGGGAAGGCCATGGCATTTGAGGCAGGACACATGTGGTTGCAATTCTGACTTGGATTTGCTTTGTAAATTTCCACTACGAGGCTTAGTTCTTCCATCTGTAAAATGGGTACTGAAAATGTCATAGGCTTGCTGCAATGATGCATTGAGATCAATGACGTGAAAATGGTTAATCTGGGAGCAATTTCTTAAGTATCTTGACGGCAGGTGCAGAGTTTTAGCTACCTCTGTATCCCTCAAGAATGAAGTGAAAAAAATACATGAAGGCATGTGGCACAAATACAAATGAAGGGATGTGGACAGCTCCAGCTCCACGGCTTCCTTCCAGTTGAGTTACTTTCCTCCCCTCTGCTTCCCAGCCATGGGCCTGCATGGAGAGGATCACCTGCTTTCATTCTCTTAACCAGGCCCTTTGCCCTCTGTGTCTAAGAGTCTGTTCCCAGTCTAAACCCAGGGATGTTGGAGGGCATTTGGTAAAGGATCAAGAAGCAGAAAACAGCAGAGTTGGAATCCACCAGGGATTTGATGCCCATCCCTCCCTCTGTTTATGTGTGAGCTAATTTAATCCATCTGTAGGAGTGTCTTGGTGTGGTTGTGCAAGTTTCTCTCACTTGAGGTTTACCTGACGTGAGTTCAGAAAAAGGACTTTTATACTATCTGCATGAACCTATTTATCTTTCCAAGGCTTTTGGATTTTCCACTATTACTCAGGGCTGCACGCCCCACCTGTCTCACTACAGGGCCCCTCTGTGTGCTGGGAGGACTGGGAAGGGAGACGGGTGGTGGGAGCTGAAGGAAAGGCTGGGCTGTTTACAGCACACCTGGGAGGGCCCAGATAGGGCCCCTCAAATGTCAGCCTTGTTCCTGTTGATGCCAGTGAGACATCTAGCTCAGCCAGAGCCGGTTCAGACCAGGTTTTATAAGAGGGCTTTCATGCCCTTCCTTGGTGGGTAGGAAGAATAGGCTGTCTTTTCTTCCTGGCTGCAATTAGCATCATCATCAACACCATTAGTACCACTGTCATCTTCACCATCATCATCTTCATCACTACTACCACCATCGCCTCTACCACCATCACCTCTGCCACTACCACTATCATCACCTTCCTCCTCTTCACCTTCATCATCCTTGCCCTACCACCATCACCTCCATCAATACCAACATCATCATCATCATCATTATCCTTGTCTGCATCCACACGATATCCTCTATGAAATGAATATTGTCCTCTAAGCCCTGGGCTCGGAGTTTTCATCTCATTTAATTCTTACCATAACTATGAGATAAGTACTATTTTTGACTCTGATTCACACAAGAGAAAACTGGGGCACAGAGAAGTTAAACGACCTGCCCCAAATCGTATACATAGACAGTGACGGTCAGCAATTAAACCCACATCTATCTGATTTTAAGGTCTATACTTTGAACACTACACTGTCCTTCAAAGTGTACTCTCCCCTGAAGCTGTAAATATAAAACAGCTTGCTCTTTTGACTAATGGCAAGACCAAAGTTCAGAAAGAAGAGGAGGCCCTTTGAGACAAATATTGGAGGGGGCAGTGTCTAAAACATCGGTGCCAGAGAAAACGGGCCCCACGCAGAGCCCAAGGCATGTGAGAAGGCACCCTTAGAGAGCCTTCTCAACCTGAGGCTCAGATCTGACACCTTTCTAAATACTGGATGTCTTCTAAGATGAGCCCTTTGCTTCCCTTAACTTTTCCCCTTAATTTACAGGACATGCCATGAGTGAATCCCATCAATTATTATTATTGTTGTTATTATTGTCCTTTTGTTAGCAGTCAGTGAGCTTCTGGCTTCTTAAAAGCCTAGGCATTCCCGCTCTGTATCCCTAGTGTTTGAAGAATACCTGCCATTCAGAGGTGCATGATCAATGTTTATTGAATGAGTGAATGAACAAATGAACAAACTATCAGATGAGTGGATGAGTGAATGAGCCATCAGCGGGTTCTGGCTGTGTTTCTTTGACTATGGGCTTCCCTTCCAGGGCACTTGGTATCTCTAACTGTACACCAGATAGACTGGACTTAGTCTCTCAGAACAATAGTACCTCTGAACTTTGACTCTTAGCAGGGTTTTCCACAAATCTACCTTCCTTTCAAGAAATAAATTCTACATCCTCTGTATGTACATGTTGCATATTTTTTTTAAAAAAATCATGTATGATGGTTGCCTTGCAGGATGGAATGCAGCAGAATGCACTGGCTAATCCAGCCACGCTAGTTACGTGAATTGGGCAGGGACAACATCTCTGAGCCTCGGCTGCTTCTTCTGTAAAACAGTGATGCTCCTGGTCTCATTGTTGTGTGATGGAGACAAAATGAGGTTGCATATAAGGAATCGTCTAGCAAACATGCCTCTAAATCATAGATAGTCAATAAATGGTAATTTACTGTTCCTTTCTTCAATTCATTCCCTCCCTATCTTTCTCCCTCTCTTCTTCTCTTTTCTCCTCCCGTTCTTTTTCCAGAAACCATTATAGAAGCCAAAGTCTCATCTACCTACAGGAATTATAAACATCTGAAGGTGGGAGATGCACTTTCTATTGTGAAACTCTCCCAGCATCCCTGAGCAAGCCGCAGTGTGGAAGCACATTGGAGATACTCCTTAGGAACCAAAGGGAGACAGGCTGCCACCCCAGCATTCTAGATATCCAGGCTGGAATAATTTATCTCATCCACAGGTTGCAAGCCAACAGCTTCTAGGCTACACAAGCCACAGAAATGTTTGGTTTGGCATACAAATGCTTAATAAAAGTCAAAATTAGTTGCCAATATTAAAAAAAGAGAGATTTCAAATTTTAAAAATGCCAGATTTTTTGTACTCAAGAAAAAAATGGAAAATCTGGCCACACTAGGCCCACATTTCCACATCGCTGCACTTGGCTAGAGCTGCCCCTCCTTTGGAAACAGCCAAACAAAACAAACAAACAAAACCTGTGTTTTCCATAGTTTGCCACAATCTCCACCATTCCCTACAGTCTCCCCAGTATCAAGCCTGAGAGGCATTTCCATCCATCATTGAGTTTGAGTCATCTCATTTATTAGACTAAAGGCAGAGTTCTCTGTACCTCTATCTTTTTCAAAGGTGCATGTGTAGGGAGGGGGATTGAGAAGGGGAAGGCTTCAGGTGCGAGCAGGGTAGGAGGAACACAGTATTTATGGTAGTTTAAAAAATATGCTTTTGAAAGTGCCTTCTGAGACATATGCTCTATGATTCCAACTATGTGAAGTTTAAACACAAGCAAAACCAATCTATAGGGATAGAAACCAAGACACCGGTTACCTTGGTAATGGAGGCATTGCCTGGCATGGGAAAGGGAGGACTCTCTGAGGAGTTTTTCATGAGTGTACACAGACACAAAAACGTGTAAAGCCTTGTGCTTAAGATTAGCATGTAAGTTCTATCTCAATAAAAAGAACTTCAAACGCTACCTGTCAAGTTCTATTCCTTAAGTTGGGTAGTAGGTCTATGAGTGTTTGTTATATTTTTCTATAAGTCTTCTGTCTTTCTGAAATATTTGTAGTCAAAACTACCTCCACTAATCTTAATAATAGGCCTGTGTTTAATATACAAAATAGCACGCTAGGCCTGCGTCACCCGTTTATCTACCTGCCTGGTGCTGCTGGCGTTTGGCGTTGTGAACCCCATGCGAGGCCTGACACTCGTTTCACAAACGGGGAAACCACAGCCCAACAAAGTGAGATGATTTTCCCCAGGACATGCAGCAGGAAGGTTCCAGGGCTTAGACTGGACCTTTGGCCACCTGACTCAGCAACAGAAGCATTTAGGAAGCATCTACTGAGCTCCAGGCACGGAGGGAGGGGCCATGGCAGATAAGACGCCCACGGTCCTGCACACGCAGGTGGTCACAAAGCTCACCGTCCTGGTGCACTGGTCACGACACACGATCTCAGTGTTGATATCCTACTCATCCAGGTAGTCCCCAATCCCTTCATACGTGTCCCTACAAGTCAAGTGCTTGAAACAGAGTCTGGCTTGGGTAAGCACCAGCAGGGGGCCGCGGCTGGCTAGCACGGGCTCACGAGAGCCAACAGTGCTTGCATCCTCCCAACTTTGCGTTCAGCGATGGCAATTTGGAAACTCTAAAATCCGCCACGGTGGGAGTATTCATATCCCAGAAATTGGCAAATGCTACCAATGGGAGTTTTGTGGGGAGCCAGTTGTTACACGTTTGCAAGCACATCCCTGGTAAGCGATCGGCGAAGGTCTCGCGTGCCTTTATTATTATTACTGCGTTCCGCAGAGCCTGCAGGGACAGCCAGCGTCCACTGCGGCACCAGCCCGGCCCGGGGCTCTCTCTTCCACTCCTCTTGGGCGAGTGGCTCTCGTCACTGAGATTCTGTTTCCTCCACTGGAAGCGAGAAGAGGCCCGCCTTGGAGGGTCATGCGTGTGGGTGTGCTGGGGGTGGGGGTGGCAGCATAAATAAAGGGTGGGAAGTGCCTGACCCAGCGCCTGGCCACGGTGGGCGTCCTTTAAATGCCAGTTCTCACCTCTCACTCTCTTACCCCAGGGACAAAGGTGGTGGCGACGGGGCAGAGCCTCAGCCCAGCCATCCTCCGTGCACCGGGGCTGCAGGCAGACCCTCCAAAAGCAGAGGAGCCGGCCAGGGCCGCCTCTGGCCTGGAAACGCCGCGCTATTTCTGTAGCTCTCGCCGCACACGGGGCAAGGGTGCAGCAGAGGCCAGCTTTTCTGCTTTATTCCTGGAAATCATCAATCTCTGCCCTTCGCCCTCCTCCCTTTTTCTACCACATTTTTTTTCCTCCTGGATAATGAGGCCTCCAGAGACCGGTGGAGGTCTGAACCTCGTTACGGTTCTCTCGGTAGGCCGGCATCAATAAAGGCAGGCAGACCAGGGAGCTGGGTGGGGGCTGGGGCGGGCGGGCAGCGGGTGGGCCACGGGGGGTGGGGAGGGGGAGCTCGCAGGCTTTCAAATCCCTGGATTTATTTCACAGTGAATTATAACTGAACTCTTTAGGGCTCACAGAGGGAAGGGTGGGAATTCACCCAGGGGTAGGGAAAAGGGCTCTGGTGGGAGGCTGGGCTGGGCCAAGAAGACCTGCGCTACTGGGGCGAGAGGGAGGCCGCCCGCGTCGGCTCTGCACGTGAGAAGACTCACTTGCCGCCCTGGGGGGTGTGGGGTTGGGGGCTAAGGGAGGAAAGCTGGTGGCACGGAAGGAGCTGCCCATCAGGAGTCCTGGCTTGTGTTCCAGCCGTACTGCCTGTGTGACCCTGGCCCAGTCCCCTCCCTCTGTGATCCTCAGTTTCCCCATCTGTGCAATGGGGGGGCTTGTACTTGGGGATCGCCAGCTGCCTCCAGATGCTGACGTCTGGGCTCCGCGCATGCTCCTGCACGTGTCAGCAGACGCCGGGGCCTTGGCGGTGAAGCCGTGTGGGGACTCTGGACTAGGAGTGGGGACAGGCACGTCGAGGTGGAGGAAACAGATGATGGAGCTGGAGGTGAGGGAGACAGGGCTGTCTTGTGGATGTGGGGAGAGGCAGAGAGAGAGAGAGAGAGAGAGAGACAGAGAGAGAGAGAGATTGAGAGAGAGGGGATGGTGACAGAGGGAAAAGGAGTACGGGAGGGAAGGAGGGAGGCAGAACAAGGTGAAAGAGACACTAGGAGAAGGAGGGAGAGAAATAGGCAGGAAAAAGGAAGTGAAGGTGGAGAGATAGAGACAGGAAAAGAGAGCAGAAGAGAAAGAGGGAGGTGGAAAGAGAGGAGAATGCTGGGTGTACGGATGAGTGGAGGGGGCCTAGCCAGGTCCGTGTGCCCTGAGTGCTGAGTAAGTCCTGGCAACTGAGCTCTCGGCTCATTTGAGAAACCGTACACCCAGTATTGGGTTCTGCCAGCTATCCGGAGTGCAATCTGCAGCAGGCGGGCAGACAGCAGCTCCCTGCGTGGCAGGGCCTCTCAGCACCATGGGCAGGGGACTGGCAGAGAGGCGTGTGGCTGCACCCCGCCTGCACCCACCCTGCCCCCTTCTCTCGCTTCCTCCAGGGCGAGGAGCCGATGCCCAGAGCCATGCATGAGCTTGGGGATCCGCAATGCCCTGGAGGACAAGAGCCCGGCCCACGTCAGCTCTGCTCTGGGGGACCCCACTGATGGGGCAACACAGGGAAAGTGGGACTAGCCAACCTCAAAGTCAAACTGCTGCTGCCCAAGACGGGGGCCTCCACAGTCACCCGGCCGGGGGCACAGCAGCCTGGCACTGCGGGGGGCACACGGGGCCTGCACTCGGGTTTGTGTTTGAGCCCTTGCTCTGGGCCCATCACGTCACTTCCAAGATCTCAGCGTCCACAAGCAGGGAATGCAGACAAGGCCCCTCCCCCCCACAGCTGTCCTGAGGTCTAAACGCAGTCGTGGAGCTCAGCGCCCGGCACACGGACAAGGTGGGTGCTCCACCAACAACAGGTGTTGCTAGCTTTGTATATGACTTGCTTTCCCCAAAACAGGTAAAGCCTGGAGAAAGATACCGGGAAGCCAGGCTATGGGAAGTGGAAGGCTACGGGAGGGGGCCAGAGAAGCCAGGCGGCACCATTCTTACAAGTCTGGACTTCGCCGTCAGAAAGTCTGACCTGGCTCCGTGCTCCCCACCTCTGTTCTTGGTGCCCGTTTCCCCATCTGTAAACTAGGGACATCAGTTTACAGGGACTCAAATTCCTAGGCTGTCATCAGCATTCAGTGAGACAATAGATAAAGGGCCTGACAGGGAGAAAGTATTAAATAAATAAGGACTGGAGGAATGATTGTGAACAACCCCCCCTGCCCCCAGGGCAGGTGCGAGGGTCAAATGAAATAATGGGTGTGAAGGGACACAGTAGGTGCTCCACACTGTCATCTCCCTCCCCTTAGCCATAGTAGGGGGCCCTGGCCACTCACCTCGACCCGCGTGGGGTTCAGCCAGTGGGGGATGTCACGCACGGTCACGTTCATGGGCAGGATGATGGACTCGCTGTTGTGGTCCAGGCACGAGGTGGCACACTCCGACCCTGAGGGAAAGCACAGTTTGAGGTGGCAGCTCAGCTCCCAGGCTCCAGGGTCCCCAGTGGACATAGCCGTCCCAACCTCAGGGCAGCGGAAAGGAGTGAGCTCCTCAGGCAGGACCACCTCTGGTCTCCCCGACTCCATTCACTTGTCTCCAATCCAGCCGGCACCCACCGCCACCCTCGAGCCTCAGCCTAGTCGGGTCATGCTCCTTGTCTGCTCAGAAACCTGTCCAGGGCTCCCCACACCCAGGACAAAGTGCAACCTTCTTTGCTGGGCCTTCAGTGCCTGCTGTGTGGTCTGGTCACTCTCTCCTCCCACTAAGCGCCTTCACGCTTTGGTTGATGCGACGGGACTGAACCGCACTTGGTTTTCCATCTGAGCCCCACACTTCCCAGCCTCTGGGCTTCTGCTCCTATTCTGCCTGTCTCCTGAAACCTCCCCCTGACCTGCCTTCCCTCGACCGAGTTTTATCAGTCCCTCAGGGCCCAGTTCAACTCCTCCAAGAAGTCTGCCCTGATTTCTGCAGTAGAGTGAGAGCACTCCGTGTTTGCATGCCTTGCTGCACCTGGTCTCCAGCTCTGCTGGGCACTGAGGAGCCTCGCTCTGCTCTTGGCCTCACCCTCTGTGCCTCCTTCCCACAGTTAAGCATGTTGCCCTACCTAGGAGAGCAGGGATGTGGTCAGTTCATCTCTGAGTCTAATCCGGTGCCTGACATCCCAGAGAGCTCCATGAGCATCGGCCGAGTGAAGGATGAGCACATAAACGCAGAGCCAGCTGCTGAGTCCTCAGGCTTCTCTTTCCCCAGAGTTTCACCCCAGCCCTCCCCGTGCCTTCAAGATCCTTCCCACTCCTCTTCGACTAGTGCATCTCTAGTGATCTTATAGATGTCTGTGCGAGTGCTGCTTGCTTGGAGAAGACCTCCACGGTTCCCTGACTGGCCAATCCCCTCCTAGGTGCCTGTCCCAGCATTTGTCATGTGACCGCTTTCCATTTGTGTGGTGACTGTTGTCAGTAGCTCTCTTCCCTGCTAGATCGTCACTCTATGGAGCCAGCATAGTCCACACTCCCCGTTCTGTGCCCAGAGCCTGGCACTGTGCACGCAGAGGGTAGGCACTCAGCAAGTACTTAAGAAAGGAGTGTGAGAGACAATGAGTGAATGAGCTCATCAATGGATGGGGAGACGAGTGGATGAATGGATGAATGAATGGCGCAAAAGTGAATGATGAAGGCATTTAGGTATCTTAAGGAGGGGGAAGTAAATGCATAAATGGATAAGTGAATGAGTGAATGGTGGATTTAATGGATAGAGGAATTTTTAAAGTCAGGTCATGAGTCAATGAAAGTGTGGGTAACTAATGGTGATAGGGCTGGTCCTCCATCCAGAACTTCTAGGGAAGACAGTTGACTTTCCCCTTGTGGGTTGGCCAGCACACTACAGTTTGGCTCATTTGTTCTCCACCCTGACCTCACACATTCTGAGGTCTCCTGAAATCCAGGCCTATCTCCAGCTGTCCTCAGCATTCCAAAGAGGTACTCATTTGTGTAGGCAAAGACAACTTGTCAGAACTGACCAGACCCTAAGGAGGTCATTTCTCTGTCTTAGTGTCAAAAGCACCCTCCGAACACTAAATGGTTCACTAGGAGCAAGTCAAATCTTTCCTTTAAATATCCTATTCTATTAGTCATTTTAAAGGCCTCCTCCCAAATGTATATACAACATGCATATATATACACATACACATGTGCATATACATACATACATAAATATGCAATATACATAAGGCATATACACATACATACACATATAATGCATCTAGTGGCCTTCCTGTTGCCATCTTATCACCTTCTTTAGTCTAAGGGACCCACAAGGTCTGCAGAGGGGCAAGGGTGAAGTGGCAGGCACTGGACACTGTGTAGAGCCTCTGCACTTTAGCCATGGGGACCCTGAGCCTGAAGGGGGCGGATTCCTGGCCCTGCCAGGTAGTTTTCCTGTGTCCCCTCATTTCCCTGCAAGTGTGGCTCTAGGAGGCAGGTGTCATCAAGCCTATTTCACAGGGGAGAGGGTTAAGGGCACAGAGCTCGGGGTATAGAACTGGTGAGGAGAGAGCCATGGCTAAAGACCCACATCTGCAGACTTCCCAGCCCCACCTCCAGGCAGTGCAGCCCCACAGAGAGGGAAGAGGAAGACAGAGGTTGGAGGGGCAGAGACGAGGGAGGGGTGGGGAGAGAAAAGAAATGGGGAAATGCAAAAAGGCAAAAAGGATGAGTGATAAGAATAAGACAAAAACTCCTAAGCAGTCAGAGAAACTGCTCACTGGTGCATGTTTTGTCATGAGACCAGTTCTGAAGGAGTTTTAGGGAGCAAAGATGAGACAAGGGTGTGATAATAAATATTATTTTGAACAAAAAGAAGATATAGCCTCTGAGCCATAGACAAAGGCTATCCCTATCCAATGGGAGGGGAAAAACGGGGAAAACTCTGATCCAAACAGGAGGCCCTGCTGTCCTGGGCAGCAGTCCTGTCTTCATCCCTCTCTCTCTGCGTCTTCCTCCTCGCAGGTCCCCTGCCCCAAGCCTGGGCTCCAGGGCTTCAGGCCCAGGCTGCTGTGTTGTGACATATGAGCCGTAATTGGCATCATTACACAGTGGTGAGCTCACCAGGCCCCGCCTCTCCTTCCCGGGAGGTGCGGGGAGGGTGGCAGCGCTGGCGGCAGCAGCAGCAGTGACAGCAACTTTCTGTGGCTGCCTGGGGGAGGCACGCAAGGGGAGCCGGGCTGGGTGACTCCAGAATGTGCCCCCAGCCCCGCCCCCCCCCCCGAGCCCGGCATGCACCTCACCCCTACTTAGGAGACCTCTCATGCACCCTTCCCGTGATGTGGGGGCTTGGCTTGGGAGGGGGTCAGCCTGGGAAGTGGATGTGAGGGGCGCTGGGAAGTGGGGAGTAGGGTGGGGGGAGCTGTTTTCCCCACTTTCCTTCCAGTTGCTCCCTCTAGCTCCCTGTGCACCTTTTTCTCTCTCTGCCGCCCCTGCCACATGCCCCCCTACCTAGTGCCACCAGGCCTAGGTGCCACATTCGAAAGATGGGCATCTGGGAGCAAGGCATCTGGCCACGGAAACATGGGGTACCGGGTAGGGAGGAAAATTCGGGTTCCAATAGCATACAGATTTCTTTCCTGTTCTGCTTAGACCATGAAAAATCCCAGTGGGTAAAGAAGCCCCCCCATTCCACCTCTTCCTCTCTCTCTCCACCACTGGAAGGGAGAGCAGGGAACCGGGCATTGTGCTGTTTGCATGTGGTTGTGACATATGCATGCAGCACACACGCAATGTGGCTGTATGACGTAGCTGTGTAAACATGTGTGTGAGATCCGCGTGCATTCTGTGCATCTTTCTGCATGTTTGACATGTTTCAGGGCATGAGATGTGTTCATCTCCATAATGAATATGTACTTGTATATTGTGTGTGTGTGCTGTGTGTAGGTTTATATGCTACCTGTGTGTGTGTGTGTGTGTGTGTGTGTGTGTGTATGCATGATGTACTTGTGTGTGTTTGGCTGAGTGTAGGTGCCAGGCATGAGCTTACTATGTGATGTGTGTGTGTGTGTGTGTGTGTGTGTGTGTGGGTGTGTGTGTGTCTGGGGCTACATCTGGTTATGGAGCATTTCTGCTTGTGATGTGTGTTTACCTACGCATATGTAAATATATTTGAATGTATCAGTGGGTGTAGACCAGGGGTCCTCAAACTTTTTAAACAGGGGCCAGTTCACTGTCCCTCAGACCGTTGGAGAGCGCGCATTATGGGCCTGGGATGAGTCGGCTGCTAAGCAGGACAGGCAGCAGCGGCAAAAACACCCGGAGGGCTGGATAAATGTGCTAGGCGGCAGGCCGTAGTTTGAGGACGCCTGGTGTAGACATACAGGGAATCCGTTTCTGTAGTTTTTGATAAAGGCCACTTCTTAATCATCCTTTTTTTTTTTTTTTTTTTTTTTTTACAAGGCCACCCAATGCCAGTTAAGAGTCTGACCAAATATTCACCTACACATTCCGGTTGAGCTAGAGGTAGGGACCCCATCACAGACACACGAGTCCAGAGTCACACACACACTTGTCAGGCATGATGGAAAAGAGAAGTTTGGGCCTTGGTTCGGAGCAGCCAGTGCTGCTTGCCGTGGCCTCACCTGTTGCCCCAACCTTCTAGAAACCCTATACTGTCAGGATCCATGAGACCCCATCTCTCAGCAGCTCTCCTGGTCAGGGTGCCCAGGGCTGCTGGCTGTGTAAGGTCCGAATCGTTCTGTGCACGCTCAGATGACCTTCTCCGCCAGACACCCCTGGCAACTGCCCCATAAATCACATTGGCCATGAGAAAGGACATTCAATTCCCTGGGCTTTTCATCATGGTCAATTAGGGAATCAGCCCAAGAGGTCAGCCTCCCTGCCCTTAAATGAGGTCAGACTCCATGCACTCCGAGTTCTCCAGAACGCTGCGGGCTTGTGATTGATGCATCCGTCCAGGAGCCCGGTCTCAACCAGGCACATCGCTGGCATCAAACCCCAGCTTGTATCCTCTCACTGCGTGCGTTTCTCGAGCTGGCCCGTCACTGCACAAGGAGGATTTTGAAAATGCTATTGATCCTCCCTTGGGGGCAGCTGAAACGCCATGGAAAGAAGTCAGGCCTTGGAGTAGCACCACTCTCAGGACTAGGGGCCATGTTCCATCACCCCTTCAAGTTTTAATTTCCTCGCCTGTTAAGGGTTATTGTGAGGGTCAGATACAATGCCTTGCGAGAGTGCTGCATGCAGGGCCTGGCCCATACCAGGTACTCACGGTTGCTTAGTACGATGCAAATTTTAAGATCCACTAATAAAAGCAGCCACACTGGATGTTCTTGCTCCCTTACATATGACATGTGCTTTCATAGCTCCTGCTTTTTGGTCATATGGTTCCTTCTGTCTGGAACACCATTTCTTGCCCAATAATGCCATTTGGATCCTTGTGTAAGCACCCCTTCCTCTGGGAGCCTTCTGTGCCCCCCCCCCCCCCCCCCCCCCCCCCCCCCCGACCACGTTGTCCAGTCAGCCCCCCCCCCCCCCCCGCTGGCACCTGACAGCTTTTCTGTTCTCTGGTATAACTGTACACACTCACTCCCCAAGGCGTCACCACATCCCTGTTCCTGACTCTCTTTCTGGTCTCAGGGTACTACCCCTGAGTTCTTAGAAGGCCGTGCCCTCTTCCCCGGCTCCCCTCTCGGCCCCTCGTACCTATGGCATAGCCGTCGGGGCACTGCAGTTTGAGGTTGCTGTTGAGCTGGTTCGGGGCCGAGCACTGGCCTTGCATCTCCTGGCAGAGGTGGAAGGTGCCGCTCCAGGTGCCATCTTTGCGGCAGTGTATGACGTTGCTCCCGCGGCCCTGGACACACAGAAACAGAGTCAGGACCAAGAGAGACGCCAGCCTACAGGATAAGCTTCCCAGAATAAAACAGGAAATGATTTCTCATCTCCCCAGAGCTCTGCAGTGTTCCAACACAATTTCTTAATGATGGCTGAAACTCAATCACTCTGAAAGAGAGGTGTTGTTGGTATCTCTGTTTGAGAGATGGGGAAACTGAGGACCCAGAGGAGGAGAAACTTGCTCAGGGCTTTCCAGAGAGTCTAACTCACAGGTCCTAGTTCAGTAATCTTTCAGCAATTTCAATCAGAGCAATTACAGTTTTGATCTGTGTTGTGTGTTTGTTTTTTAACGGAGAAGATAGGGGTCCATCAGTTTCCTCACTGACACAGCAGGAAAGAGCATGGGCTCATGAGAAGACAGGGGTGCGCCAGAGCTGGCTTCCTCTTAAACAGTGAGAAGCGGTGTCCTGCGTCATGTAGCCTGGGCCCAGCTGCGAAGCTTTTTCTTCCAAGGAATTTCCTTCCTTCTCTCCCCTTCCATTCCGTTCCAACCCATGTCATTAACAATGGCACCAAGAGGGTGGTGTGGGGGTACTTCCATCTGTGCTCCCCTTGCAATTCTTTAAAATGGGTGATCTATAGTTTCTTAATCTTCTGTAAGACGTCGTCCCTCTTCCAAGCCCCCTTGCAACCTCCCAGATTCCAATGAGAGGCCTTCTATGTAAGTATTTCAGAACTAACACTGAATTCAAGGATGATTTGAATTCTCTGTCTAGCTCTGTGGGTATAAAGGTAAAGAGAGTAGTACCTGCCCCGCTGGGCTGGTGGGAAAGGCACTCATGGTGTGAGCGGTGAGCTACGTCTATGACCTGTGACTGTGCCTGGTGACACAAGGGAGGTGCCACCCCAGTGCTGAGCATACAGGGAAGAGTAACTGGTTGTGAGTGGGCAACCAGGGAAGGCCTCTTAGAGGAGGTGCTATATGGAAAAAGGTTTCCAAGGATGGTTAGAATCTCAGGCAGAAAAGGAACAGAAAGACATTCCCGGAAGGTGGAAAGGCCTGTGCAAATGCAAGAAAGTGTCACAAGTTCGGAACAGCCTGGTGTGGCTCTGGTTCTATGACTCAGGGGTGGAAGAGGGGACAGTGAGCTGGTAGAGCAGATGAGGCGTGGGCTTTAAATGCCAATTTGAAGAGTTTGAAGAAATGGAGAACCCTAGATGGTTTCTATGCAGGGGGCCCATCTTCTGAAACATCTGAGAACGAGCTACATACTCTCTCCTTTGAGGCTTATAAGATGAGAAACTCGACGTGAGGCCAGAGGAGCTGACTGTGCCTCACAGTGCAGAAACCTACGCCATGGCTCCTGGTGACCTTCAGCTTCTGTTCACACTCCTGCGCCCCCAGCCTTAACTCCGCCTAATTTTCAGGTCACTGCTCTCCACACCACCACCAACCTTGAACCTTGGCTTCGATTACCTGCACTCTTGAAGGCACCAGATGCTGTGCTTTTGTGCTTGCTGCTCCTTCTATCTGGCATGTTTTCTATGCTCGCCCCCCACCCCGTCCACCTGGCAGACACCTTATCTGGCATGACCCCTCCCATCCCAATGCTGCTCTGATTCTGCATGGGGCGCTACCTTACCGTCTTTGACACAGCATTACCTTTTCATTTACCACCATTCCCCAGCTAGATGGTGGGCTCCTCGAGGCCCGGGTGGGTGCCCTATCCATCCTTGTGTCCTCAGCACCTTTTACAATGCCTACCAGGTACTGGCTGTTCAGTGTATTCATTCATCACTCAATAGATTTTTGTTGTTGTTCATTCAAGAATTGTTTGTTTAACAAAAGATGGAATGAATCTGCAGAGAGCAATGGAATGAATATTATTAAGGAACAAGAAAATAAGTGAATGCATGGATGAGGAACTAAAGGCACAAGCGGGCCAATAAAGGAATGAATGAATGAGGGAATAAATGATGAGTGCATGCATGAGGAAATGAATAATTTCTTTAAAAGGGCTGATGCAGGCTGACGCTCCCTGTCTGAGAAAACAGCTGCAAAGAGACAGGATTCAGAAGAGAAAGGAAACCCCTCTCCAGGCCTCTCCTGGGCCAGCAGGAGGAGGGCGTGATTGCAGTGGGAACCTCTCCGGTCTTGGAAGAAGGGTGGCCCACGCAGAGCACGCAGCTGCAGGGCGACTTGCAGAGTCTACTCCCAGAGGTTCTGTGTGGGCTTATGGCAAATTTATGCAGCTTCATGCGGCTCCAGAGAACCCAGACTCTCCTTCTCAGGGCCCCAGGCTCTAGGCCCCATGATTCTGCTGGGCCCTCGGGGGAGTGGGAAATTGACCCCAATTTCCTGGAGCCTTGGCCTGGGTCTATGATGCGTTTGGCCTCCAGCCCCTGAAGGGCCGCAGATCTCAGCACTGCGTGGGCCAGCGCTGGCTGGAGAGGCTGGTTTGCAGCAGAGAATGTATTCGAACTAGTCCGAAGCTGCTCAGGGAGTTTCAGACTGGGAAGGTCCCCACCGTGGACGAAAGGTGGGAGCCTAAAGCATTGGTCTTGCTGCCTCTGGTTTTTCTCTCTCCTTCCCGGTTCATCTGGCACTTTCTCCTGCAAAATCTGCTTTAAAAAATTATGACACTCTTCTTCTAAGACACCTTAGCCTTCAGAATGAGGCACACTGGTAGTCTGGCACTCCAGGCTTCCACAGTGAAATCCAGATGACATTTCTTGCCATGTCTCTCTTGCTATGCACATATCTTTCCTTCTAGTCAGTGAATCACCTGGTCTCTCCTGCAACCTTCTCCTGCTGCCCCACCTCCACACCCTTGCCCTTGCTGTGTGCACTGTACAGCAGACTTTCTGGAGCCTCTCTGGATCTTCAAATCTTTCTTTAGCACTAGATCTCGGTGCGCTCAGCACCTGCCTATCACGTGGTGCGGTCTTTCAAAGTAGATCCCCGCTGACCGAGTCTAGTTTGACCAGAGAAGACTGGACGTTGATAAGGATCCAATCTGGGAAGAACAGAGACTACTTTTTCCAGGTGTTGTCAGGGAACCGACTGAGTATGTTCAGCTCTGAATGCACAATTCTGCGTGCTGCGGTGAAATCCCTCACAAGAGGGCTGGCCTTCCCATAGCAAAACAGTTTGCCTCTCTGTGCCAATGCATCTGTCTCTAAAAAAGCATGCTGCAGTCTCTCTTAATCTCCTACCGTTTTAGCTAACACAGATCCACAAAAAGCTGAAGACATATGATAGTATTATCGAATACCTATTACATGCCCAGTGTTTAAAAAATCCTTTTAACAATGTAGTAGACTAGATATGATGCCCTTTTTACAGATTTCAAAACTGAGTCTCAGATAAGAAGTGAAAAAGTGAGTTTTGAGTGATGCTAACGTAATGATGAAGAGCAAGGACTTAAGTCAAACTGCCTAGGTTCAAACGCCAGCTCTGCAATGTCCTAGCCGTGTGGGTTTGGGGAAGTTCCGTAACTCTTCTGTGCTTCAATATCCTTGACCGCTAACTGGGCATGAAGTTCACTACCTGAAAGAGTTGCCATGAGCATCATGTGAGTCGGTTTATGTGAAGCATTTAAAGCTGAACACGTGCACACGCTGGGCCCTGTACGTGTTAGCTAAGACTCTTAACTGCTCGCACATACTGTCTCGCAGAGAACTTCAAAGCCAACCCAACCAGCAGTGCACTGTAGAAATGACAGCAGCCCGAAAGGGGGGGGCAATGTGCCTGAGTCACAGAGGCTGCCAATGCCAGAGCCTGTACTACGATGGAGGGGAAGGAATTGAGGAGGAAGGAGGGGAGAAATAGAATTGGGCTTCTTCTCCTTAGTAGAAGTGAAAATAAAATCATGGCAGAGAGAAATGCAGTGGCATCAGAGCAAGACAGAACAAGGCAGTGAATGCAAGAGATAGATGGTTCAGTTTTGGAGGCAGCCTGACCTAAAAACAGGACTCTCCGTTCCACACCGTATAACAGTTTACCCACTGAACTTCAGCTTCCTCATCTGCAAAATGGGACAGTAATGTCAGATGCCATGGGCTTAAATGAAGCTATCTGTGTGTAAAGCACTCAGCCCGGTGCTTGGCATATAAATTAATTGCAGCCACTGTTAATCGTTCACCTCTGTTCCCAGCCAATGCTCTCCCATGGATTTTGCTTCCATGTGGGGATGACGTGCAGCCCCAGGAGAGAGGATGGGTAGAAAATGTGGTTTGTGTAGCGACTTGGTTTACTACCTGGCTCTACCGGTAACCCGCATGACCCAGTGTAAGTCCCTTTTCCTTTTAGGGCTTTAGTGGTCTCATCCATAAAATAAGTGGGTTGCAGTGGGGGTCTCTGAGGTCTGCCTGACTCTGACGTCACGTGGGTCTGCTACTTTTCTGACCTGCTCTAGGGAGCCGTGGGTGCTTGCATAAACATTTAACTCTGAAACCGGAAGCTGCCCCTGCTTGCCGGGGTGCCATCCTTATGTGAGCTACCCTTTGTCCAAGGCAGAGCCCACAAAGGCAGGGCCGGCTCCAAGCCACTGTGGCAGAAAGGCTTCTATAGCACTCCCCCTGTGATCCACGCTCGGAACTGGGTGTGCTGTGGATTCCGTTCCCACCCGTCCTCTCTCGCTCCTGCTGAGTCGCTGAGACCCCCATCAAGTGCATCGCTGTGACCACAGAACACCTCCAGCCTTTGCACTCCCTTGCCGCACGAGTGCCCCACGAACCCCAGGCTGGCCTCTCCCCTAACCTCCCGCAAAGCCCCCAACAGTGCTTCTCACAAGGAGCTGGGCCTGAGCTATCACCTCAATTAGCCCAGGAGCATCTGACCTGGATTGAATCCCGAGACAATTAGCACCTCTCCCCGGCCACCTGCCCTTTGCCTCCAGCCTGCCCTGGAAATGTTGGGGATCAGGCTGAACACCACCCAGCCATTGGCAAGAAGTGAGCCTCCCCAGGCCTTCCCTCCACATCTGTAAAATGGGGATGTTCTTTTTTTTTCAAGTATTTGTTGTAAGTTGTCAACATAAGAGAAAGTCGGCAGCACCAAAAAAAAAAAAAAAAAGCTGTTATTATTAAAGTATTAAGGTTCTCTGTCTTGGTTTAGAGGGACAAGAACACTATAGATGCTAGAGCTGAACTATCCGATATGATAGCCACCGTACAAGTGTGGCTATTTACGTTTACATTGAATTATTTATAATTAAATAAAATTTAGTATTTAGTTGGTCAGTCACCATACTCTGTTTCAAGTGCTCCATAGCCTGGAGTAAGTAATGGCTGCCCCTTCTCTGAGTTTTGGAGCTAGCCAGCAGAGGGCTAAGTTTCAATATGTTGTCTTTGTTTCCAGGTCTTCTAGGAGTCCACATGGAGCATAAGGGATTCTCTCCACTGGAACGACCTTAAGGCAGGCTAGTTCATTTGTGTCTTCCCCAGGGCTGCCACGTATGGTGGTATAGGTTGTGCACTGCTCCACCCTAGGGGGTACCCTACTTTCATTACCTCATTTAATTCTCACAAACTTTCAGGCAGGTAGCATTCATCCCCCCATTTACATACAAGGAAACTGAAGCTCAAAGAGTTAAGTAGCTTGCCCCAGTCCTCCAGCTAGTAAACCAGGGAGGCTGGGATTTGAACTCAGACTCCAGATCCAGTATCCTACTGGCTCCGGCCAAATTTACTTCCTGAACCTGCCTCGAATCTGTTTTCTCCTGTCCATCCTCAGGACTCCCATCTTCAACCATCTCTCCTCTGGCTCCTAAGCAATGAAGAAAGGGGGGATTTTGTTTGCTTTCAGTGGCAATGGGAGGGAGCGTATGAGTCTTTCCTACAATACCCCCCATCCTTTCCTGTCGGGGCGCGGGACTTCTTTGGAAAGGAAGAATCCCTGCTCCATACAAGCCGTTGGCTTCAAGATGCTCTGGGCTGTACGTGCCGTGTTTACAGGAAGCAAGAGGGGATCTGAGGTGAATACTAGCTTTGGCTCCCAGGCTCCCGGTCTGAGGGCAGAGGAAATTCATTTTCAGTACAAACTAGAAACGTCAATTGTATTAGGAGCCCATTTGGCACGCGCTGCCTCATTCTTTGAGCAGACAGGCAATACCCTGCTCCTTCGCGTCTAGCCTCTGTGCCGGTTGCCAAACAGAGCTGCTCGAGTCGTCTGATACATTTACATTTTCCTCTCCTTTAAATACAAACTGGCCATGAAAGTTACTTGGCAGGCCCCAGGCAGACTGGGTTTCAGTTTGATAACATGACCACGGCCAGAATATTATTTGGCTCAGCGGTTTGGGTAACTGTTAGCAACAGCTTTATGTAAGGGAGGGAGAGGGAAGCTGATTGGCCTGTGAGAGGCCATGGTAATCTCTGGCCTTTGCTGCTTCCGGCACTGGCTTCTGCTTCCCTGGCAATCAAGGATGGGGATGACTCCCGCGGACAGACGTGCACGGACACCCGTGAGCCTGTACAGCCAAGGATCTTCAGATGGTGGCCCTGGGACTCAGCCTGTCCACAGTTTTGGGGAGACGGGGGCTGGATTCAGATTCTGACTCAGCTGGGGCCCGCTGTGTCACCTGGGGGTGGGGGAGGGAGGTGGGGTAACCTCTGAGTTGAAATTGGCTTGGATGTTCGTTGCAGCCCTTCCTTGTGGCCTTAGTTCAACTGATTATTTCCTGAGTACCTACTAGGTGTCTGGCACTGTCCGAAGTGCTGAAGGCACAGGGACCATTAAGGATGCAGTGAGGGGTTTCACAGCCAGTGTAGGACTGTAAGGTAAAAGCAGACGGTTACAATGCAGCGTGCTCAGGACCCTGGGAAACAGTTCCCAGGGGAAGGGGTTCCTGGGCTGACTTGCGAAGGATGATGAGGAGGCAGGCAGCTGGGAGAGGTGAGAGGAGAACTGTTTCAGGCAGAGGGTGCAGAGGTGAGAGGGGACATCAGTCCTACTGGTGATGGGGGCGTGGTCTTGAAGGCCACTCTAAGGAGTTGGCATTTTTTTCCTAAGGGATATAGGGAGGGGGTCTCTGGTTCAGGAAGGGGTTTGAGCAAAGGGATTATTGTGACCGCCTAAATAAATTACTCTGGCTGGAATGTGGAGAACACGCTGCAGAGGCAAGTAACACATGCATGGGAATGATGAAGCAGCTGTTGGCCCATGAAAGAGATCATGGTGGCCTGGGTTAGGGTGGCAGCCTTAGGGACAAAAGAGGACAGCTTTAGGAGATGTTCTAGAGAGAGACTAGGGAGGACGTGGTAACTGCTTGGGTGTGGGGAGAGGGAGAGAGAGGAGGTGACAATGGAGGTTTGGCAGCGTCTGGGAGGTGCCATTATTATTACTAAATAATGAAGACTAACAAAGACTTACTGAGGCCCAGCTGATGGAACGCCGGCCTCACCTGGCTCACGAGCCTTGCACACCTGAGAAACATGGGGCTTGGGTTAGGAACTCTAAATGTTTGCTTCTGTTATGATGGAGCTACTTGTGGACTTAAGGTTTCATTGGAGCTGGCCGGCCTGTCATTTCCCTTTCCTATTCTTGATTCCCGACCTATCCTTTTGGGTGGCAAGGGGCAGGGGTAGGAATTAAGGAAAACTCATTCACAGAACTCCTTCTGCAGAGGCAGGCAAAAGTGCTGGGCTTTCTCTCAGTTACACGTGGATCGAGATAAAATTCACACCCTGCCAGCTCCTTCTGACCTCCCTTTCTTCCACAGAGTCCTCAAAACTCTATTTCTAATCTAAATATGGTCCCCTTTCTCTTCATGCTTCAGGAACCCATTGATGTCTAAAAATAGTGGTAGTCTTGTGATTTTAAATACTTCAAGGACCAACATGGGTGGTGATGGTGGCAGAGAACTGGCAAAAGAGACTGTCACTCTTATCAGAGTAACTTAACTTTGATTAACTTCATACACTGGGATTTCATGTATGATTTCTTCTATAAGGGTTCCAATGCTTAAAAGAAAAACATCAAAGCTAAGAATCTCTGAATAAATAAAATACGGCATTGTAGGGAGGGAAATGAGGCTCAGAGAGATCCTAAAAGAAGATAAAGAAAGCCCAATTTCTTAACATCTGCATTGGTAACTTTGCCTTTGTACATTTTGGGCCTAGGCTCACAGTCTCCCGGGGAAGGTGGTTCTTAAGGAATGGGCTGGTCTTTGGTAAACAGAGAAGAAAAAGGCCAGAGTGTTGGTCTTAAGGTTCCAGGACGCTTACCTGGGAGGCATCGCTGTCTTCACACTTGATCCGACACTCGCTGCTGAACTGGAAGCCGTTAGTGCACTGGTAGAGCCCGTGGAATTTTGGTGGAGGGGGGTCACAGGTCACAGGAACACATGCTCCCTCCTGCCAGCTGCCGTCTTGGGTACACTGGGTCTTGAAGGCCCGTCTTCAAGGAAGAGAGGGAAGAGGAGACGTCTCAAGGACCACGTGGCTAGACTCAGGCGCTCCCCAACCACCACCTGCTGGCCCACGTTTCCAGTTCCCGTTCTCGATTCCCTAACTGTTCTATGGGGTGCGGGGCGGCATATGTAGGGATTAAGGAAAATTCATTCCAGACCTGCTTCAGGAAGAGCAGGCAGAAACGTCAGATTTTCTATCAGATACACGTAGATGAGATAAAATTCGTGCCCCTCCAGCCCCTGGTCTCCCCCTTCCTGCAGAGAATTCCGATGGAGGCTGGCACCATGACGCTATTAATACCCAACATTGATGGAACCGCCACTGTGCGCGAGGCACTTGGCGAGCCCTTTACAGGCGCATCTTCATTTATTCTTCGCGGCAACCCTCTGTGGCAGCTGTTATCATCACATCCATTATTGAAAAATGGAAGACCAGAGAAGTTAAGTCACTTGCCTGAGATCACACAGCCAGTAGCGGCCAAGCTGAAACTTAAACTTAGTTCTGTTTGACCCAGACCTGATGGTATTAACAATGTCCTTCTAGCTTTTCACAGAACCGGATGGGATATGTGGCTGGCGTTGCCTCCCACAGAGACACAGAGTGCTTCCTTCCAATCAGGCAGCCAGACCCGACTCGACTGTTTTCCTCCCCAGACCCCGTGAGTTTGCATTTCCGACCCCACTTACTTCTTCGACTTCCGGGAGGATCCGGGCACGTGGTATCCGGGTTTGCACTTGTACTTGCAGAAGGAGCCCACCTTGTGCTTGTTCTCCCGGCACCGGGCAGTCTGGAGGTCCGCGTTAGGCACCGGGGGCGGAGCGAGACACATGAGCTCACACAGGGCCTCGGGGAAGGACCACAGCCCGTCCTCCATGCAGGCCAGGAGGCTGTTGTTGCCTGGAGGAGACAGGCAGGCAGGGTTAGCAGAGGGAGGAGGCTCTGGCAGCTGAGCTGATGCACAGGCTGCCTGGATTTCAGGGGACTTGAGGAACCAGAGGACCCCTCATGTGGAACTGCAACCCCTTCCACTTCCAACTGAGGGGCCTAGGGAGATTAAGAGGGCTGCCGCAAAGAAGAGGGATCCCAAACTGGAAGAGCGAATTACCCCTGCGTCTGCAGTGCATTCAAACCCAAGGCTTCTGCCTTCTGATTCTGCACCTCTCAGGGTGCACAGAAAAGAGACCTCCACAGTCCTTGAAGCCATCCTCCTTGCTTTCCAGGTGAGCCCAGAAGTGAAGGTACTTGCCTTCTATTAATAACAGCTGACAGCATAAGCGCCTATCAGAACCAACTCCGAGCTCTAACATCAGTGTGCTGTGTGACCTCGAGCTGCCACTCCCCCTGTCCTGCCTCCCCTGCCCGCACACAGGCCATGCCTGGAAGTGACAGCATCGTGTTATCAGGAGGTTTGATTTTCTGTTCAGGCCCCAGTGCTCAGGGAAGCTTTGCCAAGGCAGCTGAGAGAGCAGCGCTCCCCTGCACCCGTGCCAGCTCCGACAGAAGTGCTGATTGCCATCGGGAAGCTGGCCTGATGGCGAACGTTGCAAATAACAGTAAAACACGGGCGTTAGGCTTTCCACTGCCAGCTCTTATATTATCGAGGCACAGCCGGCCCAAAACCTCCCCAAGACAATTAGAGGAGGACAAGGAACTTGTGATTCTCCACCACACTCTCCTCTTCCCAGTTATTACTGAAGGGTGTTGACAACCAGTGCTGGAAGCACAAAGAAGGCTCAGGGATTTGAAGGTTGGAGAAGTGAAGTGACGGGAGGGAAACGGACATTAATCGAGCAGTTACTACGTACTAAGTGCTTCTGATATGCAACCTCATTTATTCTCACGACACAAAGTGCACTTAGTGTGACAGTGCTCATTTGGGAATGAAGACTCAGAGAATGAGGTGACTTGACCACGTTCTCGTAGTTAGCAAAAGGAAAACTTGAGGCTCAAAACCAGTTTTGTCTAACTACAGAGATCGCTGTTTTCAATGGGAAGTTGGCTATCTGTGCTCAGCAGAGCCCTTAGTATCTGCTCTGGGAGAGTCAAACCTCAAATTTCCTATCTGCACAAAGGAAACGATTGCTCCTGCTTTTCAAGATGCTGAGAAGAATTGAAACATTTATGAAAAGTGCCCATAAAATGCTATCAATGTCCTTGTTTGCTCTTTAACTTCTTCCCTTCCTCCCTTCCTGTCCCATTCCCTCTTTCCTTCCTTCTTTCGTTCCTCACTTCCTCCCTCTCTCCTCCACCTTAATCTTTTACCTTCATTAGCAGGTCAGAAAAGAGTATGTGAGTTGCACCAAAGCCTCCATTCATTCAACAAGCATCTCTTTAGTGTTTACTATGTGCCAGATAATTTTATATGTTGGGGGCAAAGCAGTGAACAAAACAAAATAAAACAAACCAAAAATAATTTACTAATTTACTAAGAAGTGAATTATTTAGTGTGCTAGAAGGTGGCAAGTGCAATGAAGAAAAATAAAGCAGGAAAAGGAAGAATGGAGAGAGAGTACTTTGCAATTGTATGGGCTTCTCCCATCCCTATTCATCTTTTTCTTTTTCCTTCCGTCAGTGTGACTCATCTGGTCAGCACAAGGCAATTTGATGTTTGCAAACCCCACAGCAGGTCGTCCCACATGATAAACTGGGATACTGACAACTGTAGACATTTCACATTGAGTAAAGAGAGTCAAGTGCAAAGAAGGACTCATTTGGCTTCCACAGAAGCAGAGAGGCTTCCAGAACACCAGGGACTACAAACTCCTTTGTGCATTGCCCTTGTCATTGGGGCATCACTGCTCTGGGCTGCCCAGGCATAGCGTAAGCTTAGTAGGAAGGGGAGCTGCAAAAGGTGCAGGGAGCACACCTTCTCCAAGTTGCCCAAGAGGGATAAAATATCTGTGGAAAAAAGTCTTGGGACTCTTAAAAAGTACATCATATCAGCTATGCAAATTGTAAATTGTGAAGGGGAAGTCATGGTTTTCCTATGGAAAGATAACGTAAAAATTGCAAAATGTTAATCACGAGAGAAAATGTAAACCAGAAGTGTACACTCTGGGGGAGAGTAAATAGGAGTTAGCAGTGTACCACAGTTAAATAAAGCAGGAACTGTGATTCAGGACCATGGATATGCCTCTACCCCGGAGACAAATTCCAGGAGATGCGGACAATGAACTGTGCAGAATGGGTATCTCCATGCACCAGCTGTAGCCACTACCCTGCACCCACCATGTGGCTTTGAAGAAAGTACTATAGGATACTTCCCTCTGCGACCTTCCCTTATCTTCTTGGCATTCACTTCTATGCTCTGAAGGATGCTTACTGCACTGACAACTCTTTGCCTGAGGCTTTCTGTTCTGCTCTTGGATGTCTGCTCTGCCCATACACAGGCCAAGCTCAGAGTACTGAGCAGTTCATGTCCTTGGCCACCAGTGATGGGGTTGGTGTATTCACGTGCTGGTTTCCACAGCTGCAGTAATTCTGAGGCACGTTCTACACATCTCCCAGAGGTCCCCAGAGGGACTGAGCTCTAGTTGCCCACAGCGCTAACTGGCTTTAGAAGAGGCCCTGGTTGACTTTTGTCAATTCCATGTCTCCCATGCTATTTCCCTATCTGTGTTTCCTGGGGGAACATGACTCAGGACTTAAAGCGAAGGCACGTCTGAGCCTGGAGTTCCTGGTAGGAGGATAAGATATCACAGATTAAGTTCCAGTAAGTTTGGGGACCCTGTGCCTTTATTTGTTCATCTTATAAATTCAGGAAAATAAATCTTGCTCGGCTTGTCTACAAATGTGGCTAAGGAGATTTCAATATCTAATGAGCATTCAAATAATTGTAAACTTGTAGCAATGTCAAAAGAGAGGCACTTATTTTTATTATTTCATTTAAAAGATTGCCCAGAAGACCAAGTCTCCTCGGGAGTGCCTTTAATTAACATAGAACAGAGCCCAAGGAGAGAAATGTCAGACCTTCAGTCTGTTTTCTTTTTCTTTTTTTTTTTTTAGCACTTGTCACATGGTGCCAACACTGCCTGGATCATAAAGCAGGGGCTGCCTCTTGCTCGTTCTTTATTCTCAGAGCCTTGCCTACTGTCAGGCACATAGCAGGTCCTCAGTATCCTCTTCTTAAATGCATAAGGAATTATGCATTTATCTGTGACCTTGAACAAGCCACCTAACCTGTTTGGCCCTAAACCAAAACCCCCTCTGAGTTCTTGTCCAGCTCTGACGTGTCAGGATGTGGAAGGATATCGGCCACTCTATTGCTTGGAGAAAACCAAAATGCAATTAGCTAGACTGGAATAGGACGAGCAAGCCATCACGAGGCTGTGCTAGGCAAGGCTGGTGTGAGTGGGATTGTGAGGAAATTACATTTTATTGCTCTTGGTAAGGAATAGGTCTTAACAGAAGCTACAGACAAAGAAGACAGATTAAGAAGGATGAGAGGCACAAACAGAAGAAAGGCCAGGTGGGGCAGACAACGAAGGCAGAAAGGATTTCAGGCTGGTTGTTTCCTCAAAATTAGCCCAAGGAACTTCAGCTAGCACTGGGGATGGAGAAAGTTGGGAAGAAGTCGAGGTAGAAATGAAGGCACCAAGAAAAGCATGCAATCCTCTGCTGTTTGTAGTTCTGAAAGCACATTTATAGCCTCCCAGAAGCCCAAGGCGTTAAAAATCACAACTGAGCGGGGCTCAGTAGCCCCAGAAAGAATGTCAATTGCTCAGTAAAACTGGGCTCTCCCAGCTCTCCAGGCTGGGTGAATCAGATTGCATTTGGATTGTTTAATGGTCCATATTTTTCCTAAATGTCTGAAAAGCATTCTACCAATGGCCGTCTGTAACTGAGTCTGGGGGCAGACTGAGGAAGAATTATTGGAGCCATCTCCCTGATCCCCCTTGTAACCCAGTTCATCATTAATCCCATTTTGTAGGTGAAAACACTGAAATCCTGTGAGTGTCTAACTAGTTGTTGCTCAAAGTAGGGTTGGGGCTCACCCCAGGTCTGCCCGACATCAAGGTGATCTCTTGACCCCACGATGGAGTTTCGCCCATGAGCATGGCCGAAGAAGAACTGCCGTTCAGAGAAAATCTCACAGAGTCAGGAATTTAGAGTGGCAGCGTCTTCTGAAATGAAGGACGAGCCAAACAGTAAGATTTCACCATCCCCACTATCCAGAATGGTTTCCCTCACTTCCAAATTTCTTTACCAAAGGGCCCCATTTATCTTTCCAAATGCTATACGCAAAGGAGAGAGATCGTTTTAAGACACAGTGATTTTCAGGAGTAATTGATGGATAACCCTTCCTAAGAAGAGGAAGAAAGGAGGCTGGAGTGTCGCACACTTGCTGTGCAGGCAGGGACGAGGGGACCCAAATGGCAATGCAAGTTAGACTATTTCACCTGTGCAAGCCAGAGGGTTAAATGCTGGGTACTGTGCGATGTGGCTCCTCTCCGCGTGCACCCAGCGCCCTGCTATCTTCAGCAAAGTCTAAGACCTCAGAGAATGAGCTGCAGGATTGAGTATCTAATGGAAACAAATCTAGCGAATAGGCTGAGTTTTACAACTGAGTTAAAATAGGCAAAGCTGAGCTAGAAAAGGCATCAACAGGAGCTAGAAGTTAAAAGCAGGCCTGTTATCGATCCTTGTAGGAGGGGGGCATGCATACTTTAGAAGCTCCACTCTGCAGTAAATATTCAATGCCCCCAACATGATTGCGTTGGAGTTGACTGGGTGACATTTAATGATGTTGCATTTTTAGCCACTTAACTAAGCGTTTATAATTTTGATTTTGAGGTTGTCTTTTCTTTTCTTTTTTTTTTTTAATTTGAGGGGATTTTTCCCCTCATGCAATTTTGTAGATTCTGCCTGTGCTTATTGTGCCCATTTAGTAAAGGATCCCAGCAGAAGGGATATCTAGGTTGTGCATTCTTAGGCTATTTTGCATAAATCTTGAAGGAGGCTTAGCACTTAAGTGATAAAGGCAGGACATTCAAGAGAAAATTCACCTGGAATATAAGAAGCTAGCGGGTTTGTGGTGCTGCTTGGGTCACAGTAGGTTTCTGGGGACTACAGTCACTGATGGGCCTGGCTGGGGGCTGCTCTTCTGAAGACACCAAGCTCCGTGTCCTGAGAGGAACGTGGAGGACGGAACATGTCTCCACAGTGCCAAGTACCAAGGGCTCCCTGGGACACAGGGGTCAGGGGCTGAGAGATCAGCCTCTGCTCAGCTCTTTACGAGGTTGTCTCTTGGAGAAAATGAGTATTTACTAAGCACTTTCTCCAGCCCTGGCATTTTACACCCATCATCTCTTTGATTCTCAACCTGACCTCTTGCAACAGGGGCACTCGTAAGCCTGTTTTACACAGGAGGACATTGAGACTCCGAGATGTAAAATTGCTTACCTAAGATCTAGCGGTTGGTAAGGGGCAGGGCCAGGAGTAGACCCCTGGTATTTCTGATTCTAAAGCTATTGCTCTTTTTTTTTTTTTTTTTTTTTTTTTTTTTTGCCTAAACCATTGCTGTGAGGAAAGGGAAAACAAAGGGTGGCAGGGAGGGAAGGGAAGCAGACAAAAGAAGGGGAAAATTTTGTTTTGATCACCTCTTTGCCCCCTGGCTTGAGAGAGGAAGCAAGTGAGGTGGCATGGTCAAGCTCAAGAGAGAGGTCGCACAACCTTCACCCAGCCCTTGCTGTCAGGAGAGCCAAGCAGAAGCCACAGAGCAGGAATCTGAGCAGCCGATGACGCTGACAGCCACATTGCATGAAACGGCAATTGGTCCTAGCGGGTCAATGTGGCAACTGGAGAGATATTCCCCTGTACTGTCAAGGGAAGAGCAAAGGTGCGGTCGCCAGCTGTCAAAATGACGGTCCTCCCGAGGACCCTGTCCACAGCAGGGCCCCCTCCCCCCAGCCGCAGTCGGCAGCAGAAGGGTCTGCATCGCTCTGATTAAGGATGATTATTAGCCACATGAGGCTGCGATAATCAATGCTAATTTATACACCTCCCTTTCCCAGGGGCCTCTGATTGAGAGAGGTGTGATTTTCTAGTCTGGAGTTATTAATACATTCTACACCTGGGCAAATGGGGCCACGGGATGGGCTTGCATGGCCTGAAAGTTGGTTTTTACAATTTCCACTCGTCTCCTCACCGCTCTCTGATCTATATCCTCATAGTAGCTCAAATGCAATGTCTATAATTTTTTTTTTTTATCCAAATCTTCTTGGGTTAAAAATGAGCAGAGCTAAGGGATGCCTCCCAGAAGGGCTCTCTGCCTTTTATGGGGAGCAGATTAGTGAGATTGCTGGGTATTTCATTCCTTTCTTAGAAGAAAGATTTCTTGGGGTGTTTCTCTCTTTGACCAATTCATCCAGCCATATGGCCAATACATCCTCTGTTGTCTGTGTTCCCCGGGCCTGAGTTCACCAACAGCAACATGGAAAGGAATTAGACACAGCCACTGTACTCAAGTGACTCGAGTCCACGTGGGCTTCCTAATCTTTTGGAGTCAGGTAACCACTTAAAACTTGTTGGAAATATATTGACCCGCTCCAAGTATCAAAATGCCTGAAACTCATGCATGCACAATATCACATCTAATTTAGGGAAATTCACAGACCTCCCCAGGCTCCCCACACCCGATCAGAGTCCACTCATGCACAGTCTATCGAATGATGGACCCCAAAGCAGGATCCTGTACTCAAGTGAGGCATTATTTTAGGTATTGGATAGAGGACAAATGTTTCCTCTGCGAAGGGAGGAAGTCCTGGCACCTCTGAAAATAAACCCCGTGAAGGAAGGTGCTCTGGCACCTCTGAAAATAGGCTATCATGTCGAAATCCAATACTCAACTAGAAACCTGGAGATTTTGTCCTGAACTTGCTGCTTATTTGCTCTGTGATTTTGTAAAAGTTCCTTCCTTTCTCTTGCTGAATTTCTGTTTCTCAATATTTCTAATAATTTGGTTATTCTTGATGAACTCTAAGAGACCTTCCTGTCCTGACATTTCAGGACACCTGGGCCAGACACCCAATCATTTCCAAAAGTTGTTCTTTTCTCCTGTATTCCAGACTCACTCTTATTCCCCTCAGTAGCCCTGCTGCCCAGCTCAGGGGGATGGCAGATGCCTCCTGCCTATGTCTCCTCCTCTCTGCCCAACCAGCTATTCATAAGGAAGAGCAGTCAGTGTTTGAGACTTCTGTGTTTGGGGCTCCTGTGTGGTCCCCATTACTAATAATGCGACCTTGGGCAAGTTCTTTAAACTCTCTGAGGCCTTGGTTTCCTCTGTGGAATGAGAATAACAATAACCCTCACCTCTTAAGGCTCATGTGGCCCTAATCATACTCAGTGAACTAGGTGCACCAGTCCCAAATGTAACTCTCTTTTCTTTTTCTCCTTTCCTTCTTCCTGTCCTCCCTTCCTCTCTCTTTCTTTTCTTTTTTTGCAAGATTTGCAAGGTCTTGGAGGAGGTTTCGCTGTCACACTTTTCTATACCTTAATTTTTTCTTGGCTGCATAGTAGGGCAGTTTGCATAAATACAATTGGTAGAAAGAAATCAGGAGCACAGATAAAACCGCGTCCAACCCTTGGTGTTTGAGACCCAGAAGGAGGGCCCAGAAGCAGCCTCTAGATTTCTCACAAAGCAGAGGCAAGCTGAGCCCCTCCCCCCACCGACTTTAGGCCCCCCCTTGAGCAAGGGGCTCCAGATACCTTTCAGCTGTGCAGGGTGACGGCACTGGAAGGAACACGTGCTGCCAAAGGTCGTGCCCTCGGGGCAGGAGAAGGACGCGGCATAGACATGATGGTGGTCCGGGACGCCGCAGTCCACTGGCTCACACGCCACCTGCTTGTTCCACTTGCCCTCGGCGCAGGTCACTGTGATGCTGGGTCCTGTCTGGAAGGCAGAGACAGGCACAGTGAGGACTGGAAGACTGAGCCCCAGAGGTGGAGAAATACCCTCCTCACCCAGCTGACAGTTCGGAGTCTTGTCCAGGCACCAGGAGACCAATGCTTAGTGTTTAACTTTAGCTCACTTTTTAAACAACAGCTTGAATCAGTATTTCAGTTCCCATTTAAGGATGCGGAAGCTGAGACTCAGAGACGTTGCATGATCAAACCCAGCTGGAAAGAAGATAAGTGGGACTCTAACCCAAAGGCTTTGCTCTTAACTCTGTCTACAGAGTCTCCTAGATCCTGATTTCCATTTTATTGATGGGAACCTTGAGACTCACAGTCCTGAAAGGGCATGATGACTTCTTTCACAAAACAGACTCTGAGACATGGTGCAATGGTAGGACACCAGGCCTTGATCTTTGTATCTTTCCTGGGCTCTGGAGGAGGTTTCCAGGAGCCTATTGTAATGCCTGGCACACAGTAGGTATTGACTTGGGGTACAGGAGACCTGAATCTTTGTCCTCCATGTTGTGAGACCACAGCCAGGTCCCTTTCCTTACTTGAGTTGTCCCACTGGCAAAACAGATGGATTGAACTCAAGCACTGCTCTAACAGCAACTCCCTGCTCCAAGATTCGATGGCTCAATGGCCAAGAGAGAAGGACATGAAGAAGGAGAGAGGCTGGGAAAGACGAAAGAGTCGACAGAGATTTGAACCAAACTGGGGGACGGTAGGGCTAAGTAGGCGGAAGGGCGAGGCCAGGCTGCAGAGCCAAGGGGAGGACAGCCATCGGCAGCCCGGAGGCTTCCGCTCAGGGAGGAAGCTGCCAAATCCCAGGGCACTGGGGATGCCAAATGTTGATCTGGGATTTTAAAAGCAAAGGACATGTTCCCCTCTTAAGCACACATCAAAGGGATGAGTGTCTAAGAGCAAGGTCCCTCCCTGCCAAAACTGTCTAATTGTTCCTATAGGAGTTCAGACCTGCCATGTCTGACACACGGAGGTAGGTGTCTAAGATGAGCAAGCGCAGAAGCTCTGTACAAATAAGCATCCCGGGCAATAACATGCCCTGAGTGCTCGCAGTATGAAGGCGGGTCCACTGGTTGGCCCTGGAAAAAGCTGCATCTAGCAACAACGCTCTGGGATCCTCAAGTCCCAGGGCTGAAAAGACCTCCCACTGCCAACTCGTCCCACTCCCCTATGCCCCGCCTGAGACCTCACAGCCATGCCTGGCTAAAGCAACATTCTGCTCCAAGCCACTGACTACATCCACACATCCACCGTCTATGGGCTCCTCTGGTGACGTCCTGAGGGCTCTCCCGGCTTCCAGTCTTACAGCCGAACTCCAAGCCACACCCATGTGGGCAGCCAGGAAAGCCTTTGCCAACTACGATCTGGCAATGTCACTTCCATCAACAGCTCCCTGCTGCCCTAAAGACAAACCCCATGCTTTCTGACTACGCTGACAGGGCCCCTGCACCAGTGGACTCAGCTTGCCCCCCCCCCCCCGCCTTATTACATGGGTGAGTTGAGAAAAAGGAAAAATTTCCACCTGCGGCATGTTCTTTCTCAGGAGTGGGCTTCCACATACTATTCCTGCCTGTGCCCAGTGCATATATTTCTTCCTTGGTCCCCAAACACACTCCTTTGCCAATTTATCTAGTTTTGTATTTTTATGTCACTTCTTCCAGGGTACTGTCCTTGAATCTCCCTGTGCTTCCACAATGCCCTACACTTCCCTTTATGGTATTTTTCACACTGTGAAGTCATTACTCGTTAATTCTTTGACTCTCCCCCTCCCCCACTGGGCACTAAGCTCCTTCAAAGGAGAGACTAGGTTTATCTTAATGGCTTCTTTTTCTTCGGCACCTCCCACTTCAGCACCTGATTTATAGCAAAGAGATGCTTTGCAGTGCATTAGTGAATGGATGAACACCTCATTGACAGATGGCTCACCTCTTCCTAAAGCTGCCCATTCAGTGATGGCATAGCCCTACCTGTAAGACATTCATTTTAAAATATTCAGCCCATGGTCTTGCAGACTTGCAACCTACATAAAAACACTACTAAGTGTTGTTTGGAACCCTACTCTGCACGTGAACGCTTCTCTTAGAGATTCTAGATTGATTGGTTGCTTGACTGAGTCATTTCTTTGCCCATTTAATCAATAAGTATTTATTCAGCACCTACTATGTGGAAGCACTGTTTTAGGTGCTAGGGATTTAGCAGAGAACATGTTCCACACCTAGTAAACCTTCCCTGGTCTGGAGCCGGGGGGTGGGCGCTCTGAGCTCAGCACCTGTACACACCTGGCTCTTGATCAGCTCATCATCTCGTTGTATCTGGAGCACGTAGCCCGTCCGGCAGCTCACGGTACACTGGGCGCCGTGGTAGCGGTCGCTGCTGGAGCAATTGAGAGACGCGTTCTCCACAGCCAGCTCCGGGCAGTCAGTGGCCTCACATGCGAAGTGCACACAGCTGGGGAGGAGAGAAACAAGAGGGGGAGAGGGAGTTTTTGCACAGGACAATTGCACTCCAGCTGGAAGAGAAAGGTTAAGAGTCTCTCTCTCTCCAAAATTTCAGTAGACTAAGTCTGAGAAAGGGAAAGGGTGCTGGCAAAGGAAAGGGTGGAGGCAAAGAAGACCCCGGAGGCAGTGGTTAAAGTGTGTCATTCAGAGCACAAGTTATGAAGACAGAAAAACCAGCGTTCAAATTTTGCCACTTGAAAGCGTTATACGTTATCAAGTTTCAAACCTTGCAGAGCCTCAGTTTTTCCATTTGTAAAAAGGGGACCACTGTAATTACAGCGGGTGTTTATTGAGTTTCCTACCTGCTAGGCACCAGGTTGAGTAAAAGCTTCTTTGTATTTCACTAGAGTACCCACTTCCAAGGGTCATTGTGAGAATCAAATCAGTCAGTTTAGAAAAAGCAAGTAGCAGAATTCCTGGCATATGCTAAGCACTCAATAAACACACCTATGTTTTAAATACACCTATGGCCTATTGCCTAGAAGCTGTGTGACTTTGGTAAGGTGCATCACCTCTCTGAACTTCAGTGTACTCTCAAATTTAGCCAACCTCAGAGAGCCACAAGACTCAACTCAGGTGATAGATGTAGAAGTCCTTTTATAAATCTTAATGTGACTTTTGAATTGTTAGTGAAGTTGTACACAGACCATGCCTTGCATCTTGCTGCAGCTGACCCTGCCTTTGTGCCAGTCTGAATCCTACCCATTCTTTAAGGCCAAGCTCCATGCAAATTTCTATGGGAAGCTTTTCCATCTCCCCAGGTGAGCTCCTTCATAGGTATTCCACCCTCCTTTCTCTGATGCTGTTGCCTTATGCTTGTTGTATTGAAAACACAGATCTTCGGTGCCCACCACGTACTGGATTACATGCTAATCCTTAAGAATGCAAAAAGAAACAACATAAAATCCCTGTGCTTGGATGATCATGCCCTTTATATAATATTACAGTTACGCAAGCACTTAGTAACATTAGTTACTGTTCACTGATTGCTTATATACGTGAGCTCACTCCTTCCCCACAACAGCCCTATGAGCTAAGTGTTACTCATTTTACAGTTGGACAAATTGGGGGCCAGCAAGATTAAATTACTTGTTTAAATGCCCATACAGATGTGTGACTCTAAAATCTTTGTTGCTAAACTCGTCTCACTCCTGGACTAGAACATCCTTGAGGGGAGAGATAATGTCTGTTTCATCTTCGTATGCTTTGCACTGCCAATAAAAACGGTGTTTACAGAAGATATTCCCTAAGTAGCAAGAAACAAACGGTGGTGGTGCCTTGCAGTAGCTCTTAAGTGCTTTATAGAAGTTGATTCTTAACACTGGAAGTTTCTAGGGGACAGTTTTCTCTGACTTTTCCCTCTCTGGCTGTGTCTACACCACCTGCACAGATAGCTAGATTTGAATCCAGAATCTCAAGGCTTTTATTTTCCTGTTTTTACCTAGGAGACAGGGAGCAATTTTAGCCAAAGCAGATTTAGAAGAACTTTCCAGTTTTTTTCTTAGTGATACCCCGCTGAGGGTTTTACCAGGACATATCAGCATCCTCTACCTCCTGCTCAAAAGTATAGTGAGAAATAAAGTGGGGGAGGTGAGAAACTAAAAGCCTCTAAAACATACAAAAGTAGACAAACAAATATGCTTTTTAAAATACTCAAAAAAGAGCAAGCATTTAATTCAGGTCTCAGACCCTCGCTGATGTGGGCTTTGCACTCTCTGCATACCCGCTTCCGAAATGCAGGGCAGTGGCATTAAGTGACACTTGCTGAGATGCTCTGATTCTGCGCTCTTGTTCTTAGTCCTGAGGGTCTCAGCATTGCACCATTTCGGAGACCTCAGAGGGCTGTAACTGTGGCGTCAACGCAAGGGCTTTGACACCAAACAATGCATCTGTTCATGTTGTGTAAGCACTGGGAAAGAGCCACATGGTTCCAATTTAAATAGATTTACTCTGTAAGCTACCAGCTCCCAACCTGTGCTTTAGGGTTTGGGCATTTTCATTCTGCACTCCCAGGAGGTACTGGGCTCCTACGGGGACCCAGAGGGAGAGATGGCTTTCTTCTAAGTTGTGGGGCCAGTAAGGTGAAAATAGCAGCCTCCCCGATTGTTCTGTGCACATTAAAGTTCTTCTTCATAGGAAAATGAAAATCTGAAATGTTTCATTTCCTAGAAGGGAAAGAGCACAAGGCTTCTAAATCAAGGGAATCTGGGTTCCAGCCCCAGCTCTGCCATTAATCAGTTCTTTGACCTTAGAAATTAATAGAACCCCCCTGGCCTCAGTTTCCCCATCTATAAAGTAGAAGTAATAAAATGAGTCATCCTTCAAGATGGTCAGTAGGGTGAAATGTCATCAGCCAATTCATCTATTCAATGCACCTTCATTGGGGGCCTACTGAGTACTGGACTCTGTTCTAAACATCAGGGAGACAGTGAGGGATGGGGACAAATAAGGTGGCTGCCACCCTATGAATTTAAGGAGGGAGGACACGTGCCAAAGAACAGTAATAAATTAGACCCTTTGCAATAGTGCTGTATGCAGTAAAGGCATTAAAACAGGTGGAATTACAGAGGATGACAGCTGGGGGGACAGGACACTGCACATAGAAGGATCCATGAGGGAGGGACGTCAAGACTGAGACATGGATGAAATGGAGGGACCAGCCACACAAAATTCTGGGGAGTCCCAGGCAGAGTAAAGAGCAGTTCAAAGGTCCAGGACAGGATGGAGCTTGGCATGTTTGTAAAACAGAAAGACCAATGTATGAGAAACACTTTGGAAACTATCATGCCCCATGAGAAGGCGGTCTCTTGACTCTGTCTCTTTCTGCTATTGAAGAAAAATATTCCCTGGTCATGCGAATCACCTTGACCAAAAGGTTCAGGGTCAGATAAGCATGAGCAGCATTGGATTAATGAGATCAAACAGCTTTCTTTATTGCAGGACTTCTTAGAACCTTGAAAATTCTAATACATATTGAGGATTTCCAAATGGGGGGCTAAGGTGTGCATTATTTTCCAAACTCCAATAAACTTTTTTCGTGGGCATTTTGCAGGACTAATGTCTTCCAGGATACTCTTTGAGGAGCGAGGCATCCCTGGTTTTTAAGCACATCTGTCTGCACCTGGCTTGCAGGCTTGAAAACAGGAAGAAAAGGGATAAAGGAGGTAATGTGTGTCAGGCACTGGCCACTGTGTGTCACCTACATCATCTTATTTGCATTCTGCACAGTAACTCCTGGAGGTAGGGATATTATTCCCATTTTCAAGAACAGGAAACTGGGACTAAGAGTTTTAAATTGCTTGCCCAAGGGCACTCAGCTTGGACAGAATTGCAATGGAGATCTGCCAGTCTGTCCCCTACGTCCCTGCTTTGTTCTTTGCTATCCTGTTGGGTGGAAAAGGTTGTGTGAACACACTGTCCAAAAACGATAAACATTACCCCAGCTGACCCTCCCAAATAGCTCCCTGTCACAGCCCTGTCATTTCTGAAACACAAAAACAAAAATCAAAACGAGAAGAACAAAACAAAAGAAAAGGCTACACTTCATAAAAACAAAAATGAGGGAAGGATTTAATAACCACTGATGGACAGTCAATAAAAATAATGAAAGAGGAAAAAAAAATTAAGACACTTCTCCCAAGGGAGGAAGGTGGCTGATTGGATGGATGGGGGAAGAGACATTGGTGATTGTATTGATCAAATTCTCACGACCAGGCAAAGGTGGCAGTCCCCTGGCTGCAGAGCTAATCAGATACTTAAGAATATTTCTTTTCTTCTTACTTACACATATATATGTACATACATACATATATGTGTGTATATATGTATGTTATATATGTATGTATGTATATATATTTATTTAATGTATTTACCTACAGACTGAGGTTCCATATAAGGGTAGAATCTTATGTGATCTGACAGCCAATCCCTCAACTGCTGTCCCCAGTGTCTCCAGCAAAGCCTAACAGAGGATACCTGGGCAGTCCTGGAACCTGGACCAGGGAGGAGTTAAAAGGCTGGCGAGGACTCCTCTCCTGGATCTTCCCCTTAACCCGGGGCTTCACTCCCGTGGCTGCTACTTAGCCACAATTATGCCATGGGGAAATGGAGATAATAACAGGCAGGTTGTTTATAGATCACTCTGGGCTGTTCAGATGAGGACAACAGAAAAGACAGGGTGTTCAACACTGAGAAGGAAAGGGAACACTGTTCTTGGCATCAACTCTGCAGGATCACTTGAAGTCAAACTGAGAGTCACTAAGATAGAAACTTATTTTTCAGCCCAGAAAGGAGACTGCTGGGGGAAGTGATTCTAAAGGCTCTTCTAGCCTGTGTCTCCAGGAGCCAGCACGGTGGGGTGGGGTGGGGTGGAGGCCAGACTGGGAAGATCAGGGGATGCAGACTCAATGGACCCCAGGGTCCAGGCAGACATCCTCAATGTCACGGTGAGCTGAGTGGGATGTGCCTACAGGGAGGGCACGTGCCCAGCCAAAGCGGCAGCAGGACCCGAGCCCCGGTCCAAGGTGGCCTCGTGGGAGAGAGGGCCTGATGTTTTCAAACCTTCTGATTTCTTTAAAGAGTTCCAAGAAGAATTCTGGTTTTTAATATGAAGTCTCCTGATATTCAAATATTGGCAACTAATTAAGAAAGATAATTAATGAGGACCAAACAAACAGAAATTGCCTGTGGCCTAATCTGGCCTATGGGACAGACTTGGAACCTCTGATAAAGAGGAAAGAGGACCAGACTTCCGAGAGCTAGATTCAAGTGCAGGTCCTGCCCTCAATTTGTTGGGTGATTTCAGGCAACTTTTCTGTGCCTGGACCTTTAGGCTTCCCATTTCAAATGAAGATGTGGAACCAGGGAGTCCTTGAGAGTCCTCCCAACTTTCAGATGTCATGGTTCTATGAGAACAAAACAGCAGAAGCATATCATTTCAAAGCCCCTTGAACTGGGAAAAAGTAAGCTTTGATAATCCCAAGTATTGACAAGGACATGGAGCAACGGACACTGGTACGTCACAGATGGGAGTGTGAGTTGCACAGTGTTATAGAAAAGAGTCAAGTAGTGTCCAATATAGTCAAAGACACATATGCACTTAGGCACAGAAATTCCATTTGCAGGTGTAACATGCAGACTAGTGATTTCCAACTGATATGCCGAGAGGCACTGATCCCTTTATGGGTGGGAAGGTTGGAAGAGGCTGTGGGCAGCAATCTGAGCAATCTGTGGTCTCTGGCCATAAGCAGCTTCATTCTGGGTTCCAAATCCTATAAACAAATTCCCATATAGTCATCTAATGGGGCATTCCGCACGTGGGGTCTTATCAGCGTGCAGAGTCTAGGAGCACCGGGCTCCAATTTGTGAGCACCTCTTGCAAACCACGCCTTCCTTCCACCCTGGCCATGAGTGCTCCTTGCAAACACTGTCTAGGTCCACCCCGGCTGGAAAGAGTTCATCTAGCCATGTGATAAACGTATTTCCCCTCCAAGTTGGCCTTCTAAAAGTGAGCTCTCTATGAGAACTGCCTCTCTCTCGGTAGTCTTGCATGTAGAAACCAGGAAGAGTTTGCGGTAGAGGAAGAAAGAGAATGTGGACAACAAAAGGGGCAGGAGGAAAAAGAGAAATAAGAAAAGAATGAAGGAAAGAAGGAAGAAATGAAGGAAGAAGGAAGAAAGGGAAGAGGGATGGGAGTTAATTATCTAAACACATGGCTCATTGAATTTTATAATAAACTGTTCGATTTCTGTTTAGAGCTACAAGGATATATGGATGTGATGTGCTTGTGCACACATGCATGTGTGTGTGTATGAGAGAGACAGAGAGAGAGACAGACAGACAGATAGACACACACTGGAGTCTCAATATCATGACTGTAGCTTTTCCCATTAAAGAAGCCCCCCCCCCCCCCAAATCCCACCTTTTCTTCTTTCCCCAACTCAGTGTGGAGCCGAGATTTGGCTAGAATTCCACAACTGAAACTCTCATTTGAAATCTGATCCTGTTTTCTTGGCTCTCTGAATTTATACCAAGTACCTCGAAGGGACTGGAGACCCCTGAACCTGGGTCAAAACACGTCACCTGAATTGATTTTGCTATACTGAGTTGCCTGAAGTCACCCAACAAATTGAATTGAGGGCAGAACCTGCACTTGAATCTAGCAGCCCAGTAGATACCACACTGCTCTCAGGGTAAGAAAAAGAACAAGGAAAGAGGAAGGGGAAGCAATAAGGGGTGGGGGGGTGGAAGAGAGGGAGAGGTGGAGGGAGGAGAGGACAGGGGGAGAGTGGAGGGGAGTTGAGGGGAAAACAGTACCTTTCACTACCTAGGAAGCAGCTGAGAGTGGGATGTTTCTACTACAACCAGCTGAAATTGGTGCTAAAAAACAAAAGTGATGCTATCTACCTTGGGGTATTGAGAATGAAGACAAATATCCCACGGCTTTTTACGGTGGTTGCTTATTTTTTTTTTTTTCTCCTTGTTTGTTTGTTTCCATGCATTTGCACGTTTGCAGAGTCCTGCCTGCTTTGGTAAATGCCTCTTCAGCTGCCATGAACAGATAGCAGCTGCCCCCTCTCCCTCCCACGGGGCACTCAGAGGAAGGTTCTGCAGGCCGAAGCCTCACACCTCAGGACTCAGCCTGGCCCAGCCTGGCCCAAGCTCAGGGGCAAGCCAAAGACCCCAAGGTTGCAGCCCCATCCCTTTTTACTCAAGAGTTTCACTGAGTAAATGCTCACATGTGACCAGTCATGAACATTCTTCTCTGCTACCCATGCCTTGCTCCATTGGGCAGAGCATGGTTTTCAGGGACAGGTGAAGCAGGATTTTGCATCATTCTGCCTGGCTGTCGGTGACTCACTCTGTTTCTATAAGCCATATGTCCCAGACAGGTGAGATGATGAAATGAGATAATGCTCCCATCTACCCTTCCTAGCTCTTGGGAATCACAGACTGTTAGAACTAAGGGGGAAAAAAACATCAAGAACATGTAATAAATGATCATCATTTTATAGATGGAGGGACTGAGGCCAAGAGAGGTGGAATGACTGATCCACTGTCACTCAGTGGGGCAGAGACAGGACGACACTTTGCCCTAGCTCAATGTTCCTCCCATAATCAGTTAAAGAACTCAGCAAATACGTATCGATTGATTTGCTTCGGAAGCTAAACCCTTCTTACTGTTTACTTAGGGCACAGGAACTGTTCATTAAGAATTCAGAGGTGGAGGGAGAGCATGGGCAATATACGTAAGCTTAACATTTGTACCCCTATAATATGCTGAAATAAAAATAATAATAATAATTCAGAGAAGGCATTGATGGCCTCTGTTAACTTGTGGATGGGCAGGATGGCTGGTTAGGGAAAGGGAAGGGAAAAGGGCTGATGGATTTCCATTGCCATTGTTTCCCTGGGTTCTGAAAATTAACTTATTTTTATGGAGTCTGGAGAGCAAGGGACAAAAGAGCCCCCTTAGAGTGAAACATGACAACGTGATATTTAAGGAGCTCTTGCCTCCAGATGATTGCAACAGACTTTGCACAACAGAAGCTAGAGACAGTGGGTGCTGAACAATGCCGATTTTGCAACCACCTTTTGTGCGCTCTGTGGTAGCAGGAGTGTGGGAAAGGCTGGTGTCCTCCTGCTCTCCTCTCCTTGCCCCCAGGTGCACAGGGCAGGGCTGCATCAGCTTGCACAGGGCCTCCTTGGGGTGTGTGGGGAGGACTAAGGAAACAACCACCCCTCCTTTCTCCCTCTGGATCCTGTTAAACAAACTTGAGAGATGCTGTGCAGCTCTGGACCTGCTCTTCCTCTCTCTGGGCCCTGCGATCCTGGGTGGTAACACAGGAGCATGTTGGATGCATGACACGATTTCTGAGGCTTCTTCCAGCTCTAACTTTAAGAGGTTTACACAGAATTCTGTGCAGAGAAGCACCACCATCATCATCAAAAAATGGTTAGAAATAGTCTTTATTGATACGATATTATCTGGTTCTTCCAAAAGAGAAAAACTGAGACTCAGAAGAGGGACATGACTTGGCCAAGGACATGCATTCAACAAGTGGTAACTTGGAGAGTCAAACCCAAGTGACAGTATTCTTCTTAAGAAATACTTTAAATCCCCTACCCTGAGCCCCCTGCTCTAAACTAGGTGCATTAACAGATGTCAGATCAAAAGCACTGATGAAATGACGTTATGCAGTTGAAAGAGAGAATCCTAGGCCACTTGTGGGATCTTAGGGGTTACGCTTGCTGAAGACATAGAGATTTGACCTGTCACTTAAATACACAGCGGACTGGTATGCAGCAAAGACCAGTCTCACTCCACCCCCTCAGTTGAGGACAGGTACGCCTTCTGCCCGTGCCACCTGGGCAGCAGTGTGTTCCAGCATTTCAGAGCTGAGAGGGAGCGAATCTACCTGCCCTGTCTTTGCTCAGATGAGCACACTGAGGCCCAGAGAAGGAAACGGATGCTTCCAGGATCCCCCTGCAAACTACTGTCAACTCTGCAGCCGCAAGCCAGGCGAGGGAGGTTCTCTTGCCCCCACGCACCCCTGCTGCCCTCAGTAGCCCCAGAAACTCAGAGCCTTGTGGGCCGCTCGAGCCCAAAGGCAGAGCTGGCCAGGGGCTGGAGGACAGAGAAGGGAGAAACACACAGAAGTTTTAGAGCAACACAAACGGCCACCCAGCCTCCAAATCGCACTGTCTCCACTGGGCTGCCAACGGCCCAGGGTCCCTTACCTCTGTTCGGCAGGGCTGTAGGTCTCCCCTCTCTGGCAGCTGCTCAGGGTGACGGGGTCAAAGTTGTCGAAGGAGCGGAGGGCCACCCCCGAGATGGCGACCAGGGGCGAACTGAAGCTCACACGTACCGCCTGGCTGTGGTAGAAGGGCTGGCTGAGGTCATGGACCACAGGGATAATCAGGGGATTGTTCCTGCAGCTCAGGACATGGACGCCTGTCAGAGGAGACAGAGGGGCCGAGGGGCCAGGCTCATTACTCAAGGCCAGTCACGCCCTCCCCCACGGGCCCTTCCCGAAGCCCCCAGACCCTTTCATGTCACTGCACAAAAGCACCATTGGGCGGCCGGTGAGGATTTTGAGTCTGATTGAAAGTTTCTTTGTCTGCCTTTTTTTCCTTGGTTCCAAATCTTTCCAATCCCCCTGCCTCCCTGCCCCCTAAGCTTCCCCTTCACCTAGTGCCCAAAGTCCCTCTCCCTCCCCCAAAGGGCCACCCCTCTGCCAAGCATCCGGGCCCTGCCTCCCTCCCACATTGCTGCAGGGCTTGCTGGATGGTCTGAGTCGCTGGTTTCCAGGCTGCCTGCCTGGCCAGTCATAAAGCAGATGGAAATAATTCATACCAGCAGCCCTTCCTGGGGTAGAAAGGTAAGAATCCCACCCTCGTAAGTCATCTGTGGACCTAGGAGCAGCCCTGCTAGGGAAGGACCTTGTGCCCAGTATTCAGGGGAGACAGAAGCTCGGGCAGGGGGTGGGTTTCCAGAGAAACACAGCAGCACCAAGTCCACAGAGAACCCCAGCTGGGCTCACTCCAGAGTCCTCAGTTCTTCCTAGCTCGGACAGCAGGTCCCCAGGCTTTAAGGAAAGGAGAAGGGCAGGGAGAAAAGGTACATCCAGGGGGAAGGGAATGGAATTGGCAAAAGGGGAAGCTGGCTTTGGTGCTTGGAGGACCCAGCTTCACATGTTGGTGTAGCCCCTTCCCTACGCTGGGACTCCAGCAAGCCCCTAAATCTCAGTTTCTATATCACAAAACAGCAGGGTCCTAATCACAACCTGCCAGGCTTGCCGTGCTGGGGGAGTTCTCCTGTGGGGAGGCCTGAAGCTCCGAGTCCAGCAGGCGCCCTTCTCTGTCCTGCTCCCTTGGGGCTGGGACGCCTCCTCCGCTAGGTGCTGAGGACCAGGGAAGGTGGCAGCGGCAGGAAATGCGGAAAAGCCTCAGGCATCAGAGGCAGGACCCAGGGAGCTTCTGTGGAATGGGACTGTCCCCCACCCCACTGGAAAACGACTCCTCAGAGCCCTCTGCCATGCCAGGACAACTATGAAAATATTTGCTTCTCACTTAGGGAAATTTCCCAGGAATCCAGATAAGTCCAGAGGGGTTTTCTTTCCCTTCCTCATTAATATGTTCCCCCGTGCCTTTAAAACCCACTAAATAAATAAGCATAAAAAACAAAACAAAAAAACCCTCCCTGCTCCCTGGGCTTTTATCTGACCCTGCCGTGACCCCTTGCCTGCTTGCTTCATACGGGTCTTTGAAATGAGCTCTCTGCGGAATGGTGCGGGCACAGCTTTGAAGTCCAGGCTCCAGCGCTGGCCTGGAATTCCAAACACTCGGAATGGCTGCCCAGAACTCTCCAGGGCAGGCTGGAAAAGGGAGGATGTCATAGGAATTTCTTGGTGCCAATGGGAATTTCTCAGTGCCAGGGCTTGTGGGAGGCATGGCCACAGCAGTGTCGAGTGACATCTCACTCTGACTACAAGGTGGACATCGTTGTCCTTGTTATGCACGTGGAGAAAGTGAACTCTCCGTGTGGTGCTGAGGTCGAGAGAACTGCTCACCGTCTCAAGGTGAGTGAGTGGCGGGGACAGGATTCGAACTGTGGCTGTCAGCCCTGGAGCCCTTTCCTCTAGTCCACAGGGCATGTGGTAGGCAGCAGGGTGGACCAGTGACAAGCCTAGCCCCTGTCCTCCTCCTTGACCCTGCCCTCAGAGCAGCTTCTCAATAGGTAAAACCTGACTCCTCACCTGCCTCCACACTCCTGAACCTGGTCAAAAGGTCTCTTATTCCCCCTCCCATGGGGAACTTCTCTACAGGGTGTGCTGGAGATATGGTAGTCACTTGGGGGGTTTTCATGGATACCTCTGGTTGTAGGGCAAAGAGCGATGGGCTACGATTCTGAAAACCTGACTACTCAGTCCTGACCTGGTGTCTCTCAGTACCTTGCATTGGGTTTCAGGTGCATGTACGATGGGGAAATGGCCCTTGCTCAGCCTCTTGCCCAAGTCGTTTGGGGATCAATAGGATGCTTGAAGTTAAAAGTCTCAGCAAAGAGAGTGACCAAACCAAACGGAGGGCTTTGCCATGGCCCTATTATCGCCATGTCTGCCAGACTTAGGTCTCTCTGGTACAGAGCCACATCTTGACTATAGGGCAACCAGAGTGCCCAACAGAAGGAGGAGGAGAAAGGATGGAAGAGCTCACTCGCAGATGCTCCTCACAACCAACCATGGTGCCCACCTGGACCACGCTGAGCCCAGGCGAACATGCTCACCTAGGTCGTGGCTGTGATCTTTGGTATCAAACAGCTGCACACTGATGGTCTCCTGCTTCTGGTCCCCATAATAGGTGCCATCAGTCACCAGGTGGACAATCACAGCAGCGGCAACCATCGGCTGAGAAAAATATGCCTGGAATGGAGAAGACATAGGAGGGTCACAGATGCAGTGAGGAGGCAGCCACACTGAGGGGGACTCGAGGAGAAGCTTCCACCGTAGGAGCCAGGAGGGGAAGGAGGTGGCAGTGAAACCTGAGGATGGGGAACCCAGGCTCTGAGATCAGAGACCTGCTCCAGTCCTGGCTCTGTGTCAATCTGACTGAGTGACATGGCGGGAATGGCTGGATCACTATGGGCCCAAGTACCATCATGTTGCAATGGTGGATTAAAAAGACAAAAAGCTACGTCGCAAGATTCATGTGAGTTTCCAGTGAGACAATGGGAGTAAAGTGTCTGGCACAGGGCCTGGCACACACTAAAACCACACACAAAAAAACTGTACTTATTATTATCTGTCACTTGTCCCTGCCAGCCTCTGTGCTAGGCATGGAGGAGACAAAGCTAAACAAGACATGGCCCTTGCATTTCTGGGAACTGGGTGGAGTTCAAAGTAGGTTAGTGACACACAAAAATGCAGTGACATCTATGGTCCTTAGCTGGGAAGAAACATCTACAGACAGCTCATTAACACCATGTGACAAGTATCATCATGTTAGTGACGAAATGTGCAGGACAACAGGGGAGACAATAGTCACTTCTTTTTGTGGGGATCAGTAAAGACTTCAAGGAGGAGAGGATGATTTTAAAAGGCCTTGAACAATGAATAGGAGTTCCCAGGCAGACAAACGGTACTCAACCTCTTTGCCAAAACGAGGGTTGGTTGAATCAGGGCACTCCATAAGCAATTAAGGGATTCCATTTCAGGAAGCATCGCATCGCTAAGCGTTTGGCTCCCTGTTCTTACAATTAACACCCTCGGCAGGTAGGCAAATCATCCTAAGCAAAGGTCATGAGAGTCAGTGTTTCCTGCGTGCTGCTGCAAGAGATTCCAGGGCTCTGGAAGCGTGGGCTTACCCGGAGCCAGAAGGTGGTCTGCGCCAGCTGGGAGTACGGGTAGCTGATGGTGCAAGGGTACCAGGCGTGCTGGGAAAGGCCTTCGCTGAGGTCTATTACCTTGGTTCGACACACCTGGAAAAAGATCAAGAAAAAATAATAATGTGCTAGAGTATCTCGGAAGTTCGATTAAATTAGATTTGACGAACCTTTGCTGTTCCCCTATTTTGTTCTTAGCACTGCAGGAGGAAACAGGGATGGATAGACGAGCATCCGCTCACATTCTGATGTAGGCAACACTCAATGCTGTTAAGGAAATAGCAGATGACATGTTTTGGTGGCAGAGGTAACAGAGACATGCTCATGGAGACAAATCCTGGAAGAGTTGGTAATTTGAGTTAGGCCTGGAAGAAAAGGGTAGGGATAAGAGGGAAAAGCATTGCAGGCAGAGGGAACAGAAACAAGGGCTCAGAGGAAAACAGAAACCCAGAATGCTCAGCCTGTGACAAACTGCCTGGTATTACTAGACCCTGGAGAAAGTGGCAGAAAGGCAGGGTGAGGGATTGGATCTCACATAGTGTTGACTGCCAAGCAGATCGTTGTAATACTCAGAGCTGTATTAACAACAGAGAAAAGACTGTGAGACTACGAGCATGTGCTTTCCCATCATCAAAAATCAATATCATCACTTTATACACAAACAAACACAAACACACATTCATTCTCAATGATAGATAAATACCAGTGTTAAAAGAAATAGGAAACATTTATAGACAGGTAGAATTCTTTAAATTTAGGAGTTTCTTGCATAAACCAAATGTCATTTCATTTGTTGGTTCATTCATTCATTCAATGGTATTTATTGAGCAATTACTATTTGCCAAGTACTCTGGGACAAAATGGTAGAAAGTCAGACCTGGTAATACTGTGCAGATATTGATCAAGTAATTACGTATGCATACATAACTATACACTGAGAAAAGCTCTATGAGGGGAAAAGTTTAGGAACAGCTGAGTTGTTCTTGAGATCGGTCAGACCTTTGGCAAAAGGTCATCCCCAATTAGTGCTTTCCCTCTGATCTCTAATGTGGCTTCTCTTTCAAAACTTCCCAGTGCAGTTGGGGCTGTCATCTCACATCTCCTGGTTGCAATCTGCTAGTCTGAAAAAGTAAGGTTGACCTAGAGAACTCTAAGGATCTTATACACTATGAAAATAAATGAGAGATAATCTGTTCTCAACCAGATTAAACAAACACACAAGGACATGAAAACAAACAAAAATGAAAAGAAAGGAAAAGAGAAAAATTACATACAAGGATCGAAGATGTCCATTCCCACAATATGTATAGTAGCAAAAGATTGGGAATAGTCTATATGCTCATCTATTGGGAAAGGAATGGATAACATACGAAAAGTTCATATGACAGAATTTTATATGGCAAAGGAATATTAAGAGAAATGAACTAGATATACAAATACATGAAGGATATAAAAATATTTAACACTTGGCTCAGTGTGGGCCCTGCCAATCAAAGTGGAAGCTGAGTTCATAGACATCAACATGGAGTGATCACAAAAACATAACACTGAGAGAAAAAAAGAAACCAAGTGCAAATGGATGGGTATATTATGATGCCATGTATAAAAAGCACACAAAGCAAAACTACAAATGGCCCAGAGATCCATATGAATTAAAAATGCAATAGAAAAGCAAACATCAAACCCAGTGTAGTAGTTGCTTCTGGGTATCAAGGAAGGGGAACGATACTTGGGTTTAAGAACAAATGGGATTTCATTCTTTGCAGACAGAGGTTTCAAGCAAATATGACAAAATTTGCATAGTTTTCAATTCCAGGCAGTGCATACACCTGATATGTAATGCATACATACCTGGTATACATAAGTGTTTTGGTTTATATCATTCCATGTATTTTTATGAATTTTTTAAAAAAAAAACTCCAAAAGATTGGCTTAGAGAGCCATTAAAAATTGATATAAAATAATCAGAATCAATGTTCCTAAAAATGTATTCCATTATTCCTAACAATGTGTTCCATATGGTGGGCTTCAATAAACTGGACTGGGTCCGAATCTCCTGGCAGCCAACCTTCTTACTCTTGGCATCACCAGGGGTTCCCTGCTGACAATCCCATCATAGTCCATGCTATATTCCATGCTGGGAACCCATCTATAAATATGCTAAAACTCAAATGCCCCTCACTTCATCCTTTCTTGGGATGATCCTGGCTTCTGGGAGCTCTTGGAAAATGTCAAGTCTCAGTTCTCTTTACAATAGTGAGACACTAATCAAAGTCCTGCTAGAACACCTGGTTGCACTGTGATCTACAATCGCAAGTATTCATGGTTTTACTTTTAAATAAGCCTTTTTTTTTGGAGTAATTGTATATTTATAGTAAAGTTGCAAAGATAATACAGAGAGCTTCATATACCCTCCACCTGGTTTCCCTTTGTGTTAACATTTTCATCAATTCATTTTTAAAACCTCAGACAGAAGAAGATAAGTTTCCTAAGCAACTTTGGAGAGCCACAAAATGTCACTCAGGAAGTAGTCTGGCTTTGAGTTAAGGAGACCTGGTCCATGCTCACTCAAAATTCAATGTGTAATTATGGATAAGGTATCTCATCTTTTTGGACCTCAGTTTATCTTGCATATTTGAATGTTGGATTAAGTTGTAGGTTGTTGTGTGTCTTCCATGCATTCTTAGGGTTTCATGGAGATGTCAGCCTGGGGGTCACGATGTGGAGAACGTCTGCTTAGTCCCCACTCTACCATTTCAACTCAAGCATCTCCACTCATCTGTTTCGTATATCGAGCTGCCTTATAATATTTCATTTAAGAAAATAGCATCACTGCTTTAAAAACATGGACAAGTATTAAAAGGCATTAATTACCAAATTAATGGAATTTCTGGGAATACAGTATCGGCTCCTTAAATATCATAGGTAACTTCTTAAGGACAATTAAGGTACCGGGAATCAAATTAGCCTACTGTCTAAGACGTAGGCAATGGCTTCGGTTATTCAAGTCTCTCGAAGCCTAATACAGAGGAGACTAGGGGTAGAACACAGCCACTTTAATGTGCTGGAAGACGTTTTCAAGTTTATTTATTTTTCGCAAAAACAACTGGGACTAGGCTTAGGCAGATCTGCCAGTGGATTGTGTTACACTTTACAACAGTGCGAGACTTCGCATAAACTATCCATGGCATTTGAGATCCAGGCCAGCAATTCGACATGTATCATTTTGGAATTCTTTCCCCCTGTGTTCCTAGCTGCCTGTCTCCCAGCAGAGCGTGGTGGATCACATCTCTCAGTGCTAGGCTGGGGGTCTTATCGGTGCATCTGAAGCATTCACGGTCAGAGAAGTCTCCAACGTGAACAAAGCCCTCTTATTGCTTAAATACGATTTCCTCTTATCTTGTCAGGTCTATCAGTGCTAGACAGGGTTTTAGTGGAACATGCTGCTGTGATTTTATTCTTCTGTTTTCCTATTTAGTTTTGTGTTTGTTTCAGGCTGGCTGGCATCCTGACCAGGGACAGTCAAAGCAGATCAGAGAGGAACAAACAAATCCAGCTGAACCTTTGCCCAAAGCCCTACTTGATCTTAAAGTCATCTATGTTCCTGGGGAGGTGGAGGGAGGCTGGAAAGGAAAGGAGAAGCAAACCCTCCCAAGCCTCTGCTTTTATAGGCATTGCACAAATTTGCTCATTCAGCAGCCATTAACTGAGAGCGTACTGCACACCAGGCTCCAGAGAGCCTTGCCCAAGACACAAGGTCACCTGCTAAGGACACAGGTGTGACCCAGAGGTGACTGATTCCATGGGGGTGCTCTGTTTTCATCCACCCACTTTTTTTGTACCTTCCAAAAAAGCAAATCCAACTCCACAAAGCATTGCTAGGCAGTGTAGATTTTACTGAACATTTTGGGAGGTGACATGTAGGAGACTTACATCACACACCCAGTGGACTCTTAAGCTCTCCCTACCATCACCCCAAGTTCCTCTTCACTCAACATCTCCTCTCCTCCAGTTTCCCCAGTGACACTGGCTGCAGTGATACCCCCAATTTCTCAACCTCCTCCCCCCAACCTGCACCTCTCAAGTCTCCTGCAGAGCCATTCTGTTCTCCCCCAATCTCCACCCTTGCACCCCAATTCCTCCTAATGATGTTGAATTCCCCACCACCACCACCCATCTCAAGACATGAAAGGGGGTTGAACACAGTAACCTCCTTTTCCTCTCTGACACACTGGTGTGAATAAGACCTGCTCCCTCCCTTCACACATCAAGCACACTCCAGAAACACTAGGGGAAAGGGGAAAGGGGAAATGAGTAGCTACTAATCAACAGGCACAGGTTTCAGTTAAGCAGGATGAATATGTTCTAGAGATCTTACAGCATTGTGTCTGCAGCTCACAATAATGTACTGTACGCTTTGAAACTTGTTAAGAGGGTAGATCTTGTGTTGTGTTCTTAGCACAATAAAATGACTTTTTTTAATGCAAGCATTACTTTGAAAGACTAAAATACTGCTATTCACTGAATGAAGGAATACATTGATAAATAAATGATCAGGTGAAGGGATTAAAAGAGAAATTCATATAGCATTGCTGGTTTAAGAACAGATGTGGTTGGGCTGACAAGCGCCCTCCCCTAGGCCCTCTCAGGTCCTCTCATAGCCTCTTACTGATTAATTTATGGATAGAGAACTCGTACCCATTTATAGACAATCCAATTTACCTTTGGACAGGCCTCTTTAACAGAGGGAGAGATGTCTGCCTATACTTTCTCCTACTTGTTCCTCTAAGTAGCAATGCCTATATGCTTTCTTATTTTAGAGTTGTAGAGTTAGAGGGCACTTGAATAGGTTATCTGCTGAGGCCATTCCCTTGCAGTGGCCGAGGGAGGGAGGTGTCTTGCACAATAACACACACTCAGTTAGGGGCAATATTGCTACGCAAATGCAGAGGTTTCTGTCTCCCAGAATTAGCACACTTGTCTCATTCATGTTCTGCACCTTTGTGATCCTACCTTTGCTGTGTAGAACCATCCCCAGCGAGATTTCTTGCTCTTTCAACCCCAGAAATCATGACAAAAATAACAGACAAAAGTAC